GTTCAGACAGCATGTCCGCATACAACAAGGTAAGATCTTTCATGCTGTATGTCGATACTCACAAACAATAGGGTTATAAAATCAACCTAATAAATTTTCATCATAAAGTAAATCTGTGAGCAGAGCAGGGCAAACCATTTTCGTATATTTATGGAAAATAGTTAAGGTCGGTGTAAATATTTATTGTGTAGTTAGTTTAACGATATACCTGAGTGGGAAGAGTAATAAAATATTAATTAAATAAAAATAGAGAGTTCATTATCGGTATATTACAGTACTAATGCAATTTTTGACCAAAAATACTGTAATATTTCGTCACAAAATGAATTTAAAAAATTAACGCTTCAAATCTCAACCTTAAAAGAGACATTTCTCATTTTCAAGTAAAATCTAAATGTTTGATTTCATTAAAATCTGGCTAGGGGAAAGGAAGATTTATTCCATAAAAATGTCATTACGGATAATACAAGATTACGTCGCTTGTAGGCGTAATATTTGTACCCCTCATCCCTCACCCATAAACTCTGCTGACAGAAGTATCTGCCTCGTTGCGAATCCATTACACAGGCCACTGACCCAAAAATCTTTTGCGTGTGTTCACCTATTTCGTATCGTTTTAAGTGTGTTGATTCCAAAAATAACATTAAAAATGTTGTATCATCCACCATTTGTTCACATTTTAAACGTTTCTCTGCATAGCTGAGTCTCTAGAAAAGTGTGAGAGAGGGAGGAATGTAGGTGAGGGCGTGTGTTGTTGCCCTTAGACACATCCCACACTGCTCCACGAATCTTGAATTTGTCTCGTAATCATGCAGTTGTTCGCGTCTCAGTGGAGACAGTGATATCTAAACAGTAGTAATATTCTCAAACTTCCAGTGCCACTCAATAACCGTTCTTCCTCTCTTCAAAGCTCAAACGCATACTTTGACATTTTGCGCAGCTAAATTTACAATTCTGCCAATTGTTGAAGAAATATTGGTTTTGGGACATTCCAAAGGCGTAGGCGCGTTTTCAATGATAGTTCAAGTTAAGTACACATTTTTTGAAACTCACGTATATGTGCAATTTATAAGAGAAGCGTGCCATGACATTAATAAAAATAATAAAGAACGTTTGGTGAAAATATGCTGAAGTGTACAAACCAGACTACAGGAATGTGTAAATTTCGAAGGCCGACAATTTAAGCACGTGAGATATTGCACTTAATTACAATTTGTAAATGTTGTGCCTTCATAAATATCTTTTCTAAAATAAATAAGTTTTGCCTTAGTATTTCATTATACTTTCTTTATCAAACTATTTTCGATAATAATAATAATAATAATAATAATAATAATAATAATAATAATAATAATAATAATAATGTGACCATCCCGTCGATCCTCTATTTTCATTATAATTATTTTTACATCTATTATTTATTTTACCTGATATCCAAAATCTGTTTATCTAAATTTTAATACTAATCTTTCCTGCAAGAGCGGCATTGCAACTGGAAAACTTGAATTAGGGTCATGGGACTGAAGTTCCTCCTGTATAGGATGGGGAAATATTTATCATTATTTTATTGGTGATGGGAGGGGGAATTACCTTACTTTATCTACAAACAATAAAAACACAGACACCATTCAAATTTATTCAACATCGTGATCAATGGTACCATTTATTTATTCGACGGCGTTAATCTGCACTGTCGTCTCTTTCCTGTATGACGCTGCTGCTAAAAATCACAGCACAAAACCAGAAATACTCTTTAATACAATAATAAAGAACCTAACTTCATATTTACACTTAATAAATACATATTTATACAAATCTCATTTATACTGTGCACGTTATTATTTTGATGACCATCCATGTTATTTCAGTGGGTTTACCAAATTTATTACAGCGCATGGCTTTCTCATAAATATACATTCTGTATGCGAGGGGTATTATCTGTGAATGTCCACTTCCCTGAATACGCGTATGATGATGTCGTCAGCCCGTGAATTCGCTCCATCCACCATTTCACTATACCATGCCGTCAGCTGGGCTCGCCATTTCCACATTACCACACTTCCTATGCGTTTCTACGCAAAACCTTCTAAATTCAGCACTGAATCCCAGTGACTGAAGTCAGCGCATACTCCAACACGCCTTCTCTCCGAAACACAAAAATTGGCAGCACATGCTACACCACGTCGGCTCGGCATCTATCTTTGCTTTCCTCAATCAGTCTATCTTTCTTTTGTTTTTCACTAAAACAACAACGCTCGCTTTCATCTGTCACCGATGTCTTTTGAAGCCTTTTATATTTTTGTAAAATGTATTCTAATTTGGCCCTTTTCCAAGGTTCTGAAAATTTTGCTTTTGAAATCGCCGCGTTTCCCTAAGTTCATTGCCCTCTGGTTCACCTGCTTTGCCGAAATTCCAACTTGTTTAGAAAGCTACTTACACCAGTTGCCCATGTTCAATTGTTCTTTTGTGTACGTACCTTTTTGCCTCTTAGGTTCTTCTTCTAAATTTTTGTACCGCTTTTCGACTTGCTTCCGGACAATTATTACAATTGTTTATATTTCTAATGCTTATTTCCTAAATCGAAAATTCCCCTTTTATTCAAAGAGAACATAAAATTCAGATCCGCGTACACGTTGTCAATTATTTATTCTTCTTCTTCTTCTTCTTCTTCTTCTTCTATCCGCTTATTTACTAAAAAATACATATTTTCTTAGCGAAAATGTTTATTAAGGAAAGTTTATTATACAGGGGTCGTGCGTACGGTTACAATACCTACTGTACACTTATTTACGCACCCCCTTGTTTGTTGTGCAACAGGATTTTGTTACTCAGACAGAAATTCAGCTAACCAAAGAACTTACAGAAGCTTACCTCAGTTTAAACATATAAGAACAATTACTCTGGCTTCAAGTTCTACTTGACCAACTACTTTGTGTTGTGATAAACCTTGTTACGAGGGTTTTAAGGAAAAGGAAAGGTATATCACATGAAATAACATATGCAAGCAATATTTAATATTGTATATTTATTTCTTCCTTCATTATCTAGAATGATTTCCAAGAAAGTTTCTTGGGCTCTTTTTTGTTTATTGAAAAACATGTTGAGAAATTTCAAGGAATGTTCTGAAATGAATGTCACAACGATATCTCGAACTTCTTATTTTCATTTTTGGCGGTCGTATGGTAGAATTACAGTATTTCGAAACAGGATTAAACTAAACAAAATACAGGCACATTTTTTCATCCGCTAACTTATAATACATTATGTGAAGTATCTGGTATTGTCCGAATATTTTTTACCACAACAATGTATTTGACATAAAAGGAAATTAATCATTCATACTGTGCTCCGTTCTATGTATTGTGTAAAATGGAAGTAACTTCAATCCATTGCGGCATTCCAACCCAGCTTGCTTCCCTCGCCTCATTTCCTTTGTGTCCGCCCCGGTCTTACTTACTATGAGGTGCATCGCACTGTGCTATGTACACGTACTCATTGAGCAACTTTCATACATTTCGAACTTTAAAAATATACCCAAACAATTCTGCAGAAATTAAGGACCCTTAAATTCAAGTGAGAATACACATTAAAATTCTCACGGAATTCTAGACGAAATGCGCACTTAAATTCTCACGAAATGAGAACGGAAACTTTGTTTTAAATACATGAGTCATTAGCAGAGCATATTGCTATTAGCATAGATCGCATCCATCACGAATTTCAATGCATATATGAATCGCGATTTATTCGTGATATGCATCTCGAATGTGCACATTTCTTTTATGTTCCCTCAGGTATACTCACAGTAGCGGCTCTCGCAGGTATTGTGGAAGTTCTATATACCTTAGTTTCATTTATTTTGTTGTTCTTTGAAATACCGAAGTTTAATTTCACATTATAGCACCTATGATTAGATGAGCACCAGTGTGGAAGTAATTTCTCGCGTCTTATTTATCGCCATTAAAAAAATACACTGATTTTTTGCAAATATTAATGAGGTATTTTACGCTCATTGTGAGATAATTAAATACATTGATAACACGTTTTTAAAACAGTTTTTTCAACTAAAATTCAAAAAAATATTTATGTGTAAAACCACTGAATCCAAAGCGAGTCGAATTACGGAAATCTAACGGCAAAAACTGCAACCAAAGAATTGGGTTTGAACGGGTAGTTAATTCCTGTGAAGCAAAAATAGAAGGATTTTTTCTCTCGAAAATCGAAAAGATGTGTAACGATTATCTTGGGGTTGTGCAACCTAAACACAAGCTGCCTCTGGTTGACTGCCAACCTCGGCTATTTCACCGGTTTACGATCTTCAAACGCGAATGATAGTTGCTGTTTATCGGCTTGATGACGTTAAAACTATTATCGGACTGCCATTGCAACTCTTCAACTGTGTCGTGTGATGGCGATGTGTAAAGCACATCTGGACGACTTAAGCCGATGCTGCGCGGGTGGTAGGGGGGGCGGTACGGGCAGGTGGTACGGGACACAACAGGGTGGGGATTTAAATCAACTCTAGACACTTAGATTTTTACACCAGATGTAAGTTCATGTCTTAGCCTGTCGATTAGAAGATCGTGACAAATACCTGGGCAAAGAGGACTTGATTCCACTAGTCTAGCGTATTATGAAATTTATTGTCGTTTGCTACTTTCCACATTTTAGTAATTGTTGAATTACGTATAAAAGTACCTACAATCAAAATCAGTTTGGAATACGACGGCAGACTCATTTAAAACTTTATACATTTATAATCTAATTATTTCCTTGCCCAGTTAAATTATATTAGTATTACTTCAGTCACATTTCCAAGAGTTGGCATTACTTTTGATTACGCTTCCAGATGGAACGACCGCCACTGTATATTTTCAGCTACTTAATCGCTTCTTGTACAAAGCTATTTGGCACGACGGTCCATTTATGAGACGGGCTAACAGCTTTGTATCCTTATGAGAGAAACGAAATTACTTTATTTTCGTAATTGCTCTTAATTCTTAAGAGCGTTCATCGCCGTGGATCCGTAAGTGTGCAACCACATCGCTTTTCCGAGAGAACCTCTTCGGACAGACAGAGCATTCGTGAGGGCGTTCTCCAGTGTGGATTCGCTGGTGCGAAACTAAAGTTCTTCTATCTGAAAAGCTCTTTCCGCAGACGGAACACTCATGAGGGCGTTCACCGGAGTGCAGGCGTATGTGCTTAACGAAATGACTTCTGTCTGAAAAGCTCTTTCGGCAAACACAACATACATGAGGGCGTTCACCGGTATGGATCCGCATGTGCACAACCAAATCACTTCTCCGAGAGAACCTCTTGAAGCACACAGAGCAATCGTACGGGCGTTCACCGCTGTGGATGCGCATATGCGTAACCATGGTACTGCGATGCGAAAAGCTCTTCTGGCAGACCGAACATTCATGAGGACGCTCACCGCTGTGGATCCGCAAATGAGCGTTTAAATGACTTCTATCACCAAAACTCTTTTCACAGACAGTGCATACATGGGGGCGCTCACCGCTGTGGATACGCGTGTGCGTAACTAAATCACTGCTCCGAGAGAACCTTTTGAGACAAACGGAGCATCCGTAAGGGCGTTCACCGCTATGAATCCGCGTGTGCGCAACTAAAGTACTTTTATCTATAAAGCTCTTTTGACAGACCGAACATTCATAGGGGCGTTCTCCACTATGGATCCGCATATGCGTAACTAAATGTCTTCTATCTGCGAATGTCTTCTGACAGAGAGAACATTCATAAGGGCGTTCATCGTTGTGGATCCGCAAGTGCACAACTAAATCACTTCTGCGAGAAAACGTCTTGGAGCAGACAGAGCATTCGTAAGGGCGTTCACCGCTGTGGATCCGCATGTGTGTATTTAAACCGCTCCTATCTGTAAATCTCTTTTCGCAGACGATGCACTCATGAGGGCGTTCACCACTGTGGATTCGCATGTGCGTGACTAAACTACTCCTCCGAGAAAACTTCTTTTGGCAGACAGAGCATTCGTGACGGCGATCACTGCTGTGGGTCCGCTCGTGCCCAACCAACTCGGCACTCTTGCTGAAGTTGTTTTGACGCAGGGAACATTCGTGGCAACTTTCCCCAATTTCACATCCAGATTCGGGCAAGGTGAGGGCGTCTGCGGAGCTACCTTCTCCACCTGTGGGGAAAAATACTTTATTAAAATGAAATATGTCGGGAAATTAGGGAATGTAATTTCCGGTAATAAGTCTAACCCTAGGTACCGTTACGTTTTATGGCATGTCTCTATTGAGGAGTCAGCGAAACAATGGCCTAACGTTTAAAAAAATTTAAAAAAACTACTTTTAAACGCCATTAGTTGCCTAATAAGGTGAATTCTCTTTTTACATTGTTGGGTAAACCATTCCCTCATGACGTAAAGAATGAAATAATTATTTTTCCCTCTATATAATGAAATCTCAACACTAAGTAAATTAAATATAATTTAAGTTTAATTTTTGTTCTTAAAAGAAGTTGCTGGAACACTGTTGTGCTGACCCTTCACATTCTATTCTCAAGTAATGCTTACTTTTTAATTCCCGACAGAAGGAATGTATAGTATAATTTTAGTAGTGTGAATATCCTAATATTTAATGGCTATCGTACCCGTGCGAGAACTCACGTACGTTAAACAATCTCGCTATTTTTTTCTAGGAGTATCGTTCAACTGAAACATGGAAACATGTTGTCCGTTTCCATCATAGTTCCCTACACAATTAGGTACACGCATAAACAATCATCGGTATCAAACAACTATTAATAGCACTCCTAGTTGTTGCTGCTAGAGCAAATCTTGAATTAATAATTATGCAAATAAACCTTCATAACCGCAAACCATGGTGCACACAGAAAGCGTATAAATAGTATGATGGTGTAATCTAACCCTTCCAAGATATCAAATACCAACATATCAAATAAGGCCACCCACATTAAGGGCTTAAATGTAAGTCGTGGAGAAATATCATGTACTCCTCCATGTGGTATTGGTAATATCGATAAGACCCGAAGGGGCAAAAATTTAATAGAATGTCTTAGAATATCTCATCCTGTAGGTTACGATGAGAAATGTTTCTTTGAAGCCTTTGACTTTAAAATTTTAGTTTTTAAGGCCCTCGAATGCTTAGTTTCGGAGTTATTTAACAATATAGCTGACCAAATGCTGCGTATTGCATTAGATATGAATATTTAAATGCATTTTTTAAACAAAGCCTTCATATTTTCAATGGCATAGTGCAATTTGTCACGTCTCCGTTAAATCATTCTTCTTTAGAGACCTCATTTATGAAGATTGGTTGCGTGTGATTCTCCTTCGAGAAAACCTCTTTCAGCTGACTGAACATTCAAGGCGGTGTTCTCATAACACATGCCCCATCTCACCTCTAACCGCACCACCATCCCATCACCCACCACCCTATCTTTCCTACCACTATCCCCCATCCGCACCCCCACTCCCACGACCACTAACCTCACCATCGCCCACATTTGCATCCCCATCACCCCTATCCCCATCTACAACCATCACCATCTTCAGCCCCCATCACCACCACCTATCCCACCCTCACCTCTCTGAAGCTGGCTAGCCACCTATAGCAAACAAAAAAACTACATGCCATCGTTTACTACTAACTAATTACTCATTAATTATCATAATTTTAAATTAATTACGCCAGCCTTTTTTTTAAAAATTCGAGGGTCAGCTAGTTTCAAAATGAAGCTACCTAGCCACAATACAAAGTACAACAGAAAAAATCAGAAAAATTTAACAAGAATGAATAAATTAATTACTATTTATTTACTCCATTTCGCCATTATTATAAAAAGTAATTGTTCAAATAATTTTAAAATATCAACAAAAACAAAATTTATGTAAGAAAGGTATGTAAAAATTCTTAAAACTACATTTTACCGGCGAACCCCAAAATTACTAACACATTATTGTTGCTATTTCTTTATATTTATTGAATAATTAGGTTCAAAAAATAACTGTAGGCAATTGTTTATAAAGAAGCACAAAACTTTACACAGGCTATATTAAGTACCATCAATAAAAACTAAAAAACTCTCACTAAAAGAACTAACCGGCGTAATTCAGAAATACTTCACCAGTTCTTGCGTAACACACCCATTGACTTAATAACAGATTACTTAAATTAATTACGCCGGCCAGTTGTTATTAAACAATTGTTTATAAATAAGCACAACAATTTATAAACAATTGTTTATAAACAACTGTTTATAAATAAGCGCATACCTCTACACAGGCTACACAGGTACCATATATTACGCAAAAAAATCATAGTAAATAAACTAACTGGCGAAATCCACAATTGTTTAGTGAAACGCAATGTTGGACATAACGTTGGCTGATTTTAAAAACAACTGGCCGGCGTAATTAATTTAAACAACGCGTTATTAATTCAATTGGTGTCTTGTGCAAATACTTGTGTAGAATTTGTGGGTTTCGAGACTTACTTTATTTACTGTGAATTTTTTGCCTTGTATAAATCTCCCACCTGTATAGCCTGTGTAGAGGTATGAGCTTATTTATAATCAATTGCCTACAGTTATTAATTTTGGAGTAATTTATTAAATAAATATAAAGAAGTAGTAACACAATAATAGCTGTAATTCTGTGGTTTACCAGTAAAGAATAATTTTAAGAATTTTTAAAATATTTTGCGTGATATGTTATGTACTTACGAAGCTTTAGCTGTTTTTAAAAAACAACTGGCCGGCGTAATTAATTAAAACCACATTCAATAGGTGTCTTGTGAAAGTACTTGAGAAGTATTTGTGGTTTCCGCCGGTTTGTTTACTTTTTGTAAATTTTTTGTGTAAAATATGGTACCTGTATTGCCTGTGTAGAGGTTTGGCTACTTTATAAACAATTCCAATATTACTTTTGGAGCTAATTATTCAAAAAATATAAAAAGTAGTAACAAAATAATAGATGTAATTCTGTGGTTTGCAGGAAAAGGATAATTTTAAGGATATTTACAATTATTTGCGTAATATGTTATGTACTTGCGGAGATTTGGATGATTTTATAAACAACTGGCCAGCGTAATTATTTAAAACAACGTGTTAATGATTCAATTGATGTCTTGTGCAAGTGAAGTATTTCTGGATTCCGCCGGGTAGTTTATTTACTGCAAATTGTTTGTCTAATATATGGTACCTACATAGCCTGTCTAGAGGTTTGACACCTTAATAAACAATTGCCTAAAGTTATTAATTCCGGAGCAATTTATTTGATAAATATAATGAAGTGGTAACACATAATTGTTGTTATTCTGTGGTTTGCCGGTAAAGTGTAATTTTAAGAACTTTTAATTATTTTTCAATTACGCCGGTTAGTTCTTTTAGTGAGAGTTTATTCGTTTTTATTCATTGTACTGCATTTAGCCTGTGTAAACTTTTGTGCTTCTTTATAAACAATTGCCTACAGTTATGTATTTTGGACCTAATTATCCAATAAATAAAAAGAGATAGAAACAATATTATGTTAGTAATTAAGGGTTCGCCGGTAAAATGTAGATTTAAGAATTTTTACATACCTTTCTTACATAAATTTCGTTTTTGTTGATTTTAAAATTATTTCAACAATTACATTTTATATTAATGGCAAATAGAAGTAACTAAATAGTAATAATTTTATTTATTATATTATAATTTATTTATTTTTCTGATTTTTTCTGTTGTATTTAATTATGGGGCTAGGTAGCTTCATTTTGAAGCTAGCTGACCCTCGATTTTCTAAAAAATGGATAGCGTAATTAAATTAAATTATGATTATTTATAAGTAATTAATAAGTAGTAAACGATGGCATATAGATTTTTTTGATCCGCTATTGGTGGCTATTCAGCTTCAGATAGACAGATTGAGTCTGGTTAGCACCATTGAATTTCTCATCGAAAGTTGTACACATACGTAATTTCAAAAAGAAGCAAAGAAATTAGGTAATTACTAAATTTCTCAAATTTCGCTCAATATTTGTTTCACGCGTATTTCTGAAACTACTAGGCGGATTGAAGTCTGGTTTGTACCATTGAATTTATCGTCGAAAGATGTACTCAGATCTGTGACTTCTGAATGAAACGATAAAATTAAGTTTTTTTCACTAAATTTCTCAAGTTAAGCTCAATATTTGTTTCACGCGTATTTCTGAAACTACTAGGCGGATTGAAGTGTGGTTTGCACCATTAAATTTCTCGTCGAGGGTTGTACTCACATACGTAATTTCATAAGGAAGCGATGAAATTTAGTTTTTTTCACTAAATTTCTTGAATTTAGCTCAAAATTTGTGACACGGGTATTTCCGAAAGTAATGGGCGGATTGAAGCCTGGTTTGCACCATTGAATTTCTCGTCGAGGGTTAACCTCACACACGTAATTTCAGAAGGAAGGGTTGAAGTTTTGTTTTTTCGTTTTTTTTTACTAAATTTCTAGAGTTTAGTTCAATACTTGTTTCACGCGTATTTCTGAAACTATAAGGCGGATTAAAGTCTGGTTTGCACCATTAAATTTCTCGCCGAGGGTTGTACTCACATACGTAATTTCAGAAGGAAGGGTTGAAGTTTAGTTTTTACGTTTTTTTCACTAAAGTTCTAGAGTTTAGCTCAATACTTGTTTCACGCGTATTTCCCAAACTGTACGGCGGATTGAAGTTTGGTTTGCACCATTAAATTTCTCGTCGAGGGTTGTACTCACATACGTAATTTCAGAAGGAAGGGTTGAAGTTTAGTTTTTTCGGTTTTTTAGCTAAATTTCTAGAATTTTGCTGAATATTTGTGTAACGCATATTTCTGAAAGTAATGGGCGGATTGAAGTCTGGTTTGCACCATTAAATTTCTCGTCGAGTGTTGTACTCACATACGTAATTTCAGAAGGAAGGGTTGAAGTTGAGTTTTTTCGGTTTTTTAACTAAATTTCTAGTTTAGCTCAATACTTGCTTCAGTCGTATTTTCGAAACTATAGGGCGGATTGAAGTCTGGTTTGCACCATTAAATTTCTCGTGAAGGGTTGTACTACCCACGTAATTTCATAAGGAAGCGATGAAATTTAGTTTTTTCGGTTTTTTAGCTAAATTTGTAGAATTTAGCTCATAATTGTGTCCCGCGTGTTTCCGAAAGTAATGAGCGGATTGAAGTCTGGTTTGCACCATTAAATTTCTCGTCGAGGGTTGTACTCACCCACGTAATTTCAGAAGGAAGCGATGAAATTTAGTTTTTTCAATTTTTTTCGCTAAATTTCTAGAATTTAGCTCAATATTTGTGTCACGCGTATTTCTGAAAGTAATGCGCGGATTGTAGTCTGGTTTCCACCATTGAATTTCTCGTCGAGGGTTGTACTCAGATACGTAATTTCAGAAGGAAGCGATGAAGTTAATTTTTTTCGGTTTTTCGCTCAATTTTTAGTTTATATCAATATTTGTTTCACGCGTATTTCCGAAACTATAAGGCGGATTGAAGTCTGGTTTGCACCATTAAATTTCTCGTCGAGGGTTGTACTCACCCACGTAACTTCAGAAGGAAGCGATGAAATTTAGTTTTTTCGGTTATTTAGCATAATTTCTAGAATTTAGCTCAATTTTTGTGTCATGTGTTTTTCGAAAGTAATGGGCGGAATGAAGTCTGATCTGCACCATTGAATTTCTCGTCGAGGGTTGTACTCACATACGTATTTTCAGAAGGAAGCGATGAAATTTAGTTTTTTCGATTTTTTCGCTAAATTTCTAGAATTTAGCTCAATACCTGTTTCACGCGTATTTCCGAAACTATAAGGCGGAATGAGGTCTGGTCTGCACCATTAAATTTCTCGTCGAGGGTTATACTCACATACGTAATTTCAGAAAGAAACGATGAAATTTAGTTTTTTCAATTTTTTCGCTAAATTTCTAGAATTTAGCTTAATATTTTTGTCATTAATATTTCCGAAAGTAATGGGCGGAATGAAGCTTGGTTTGCACCATTGAATTTCTCGTCGATAGATGTACTCAGATACGTGATTCCAGAATGAAGCGATAAAATTATTTTTTTTCAATTTTTTCACTAAATTGACCAATTTTAGCTCAATATTTGTTTAACGTGTATTTCCGAAACTAATAAGCGGATTGAAGTCTGGTTTTCACCATTGAATTTCTCGTGGATAGATGTACTCAGATACGTGATTGCAGAATAAGCGATAATATTAACTTTTTTCAATTTTTTCACTAAATTTTCCAAGTTTAGCTCAATTTTTGTTTCACGCGTATTTCCGAAACTAATAAGCGGGTATAAGTTTGTTTGCACCATTGAATTTCTCGTCGGTAGATGTACTCAGATATGTTATTTCAGAATTAAGCCATAAAAATAAGTTTTTTTCAATTTTTTTCACAGAATTTCCCAAGTTTAGCTTAATATTTGTTTCACGCGTATTTCCGAAACTAATAAGCGGATTGAAGTCTAGTCTGTACTATTTAATTTCTCGTCGATAGATGTACTCAGATATGTGATTCGAGAATGAAGCGATAAAATTAAGTTTTATTTTAAATTTTTTCACTAAATTTCCCAAGTTTAGCTCAATATTTGTTTAACGCGTATTTCCAAAACTAATAAGCGAATTGAAGTGTGGTTTGCACCATTGAAATTTTTGTCTAGAGTAGTACTTAGATATGTGATTTCCAAATGAAGCGATGAAATTAAGTTGTTTTTTTTAATTTTTCACTACATTTCTCAAGTTAAGCTCAATATTTGTTTAACGCGGTTTTTCGAAAACCTCTCTGATTCCAGCTAGCCACCTATAGCGATCCAAAAAAAACTACTTGCCGTCGTTTACTGCTAATTAATTACTTATTTATTATCATAATTTTGAATTAATTACGCCTGCCTTTTTTTTAAAAAATGGAGGGTCAGCTAGCTTCAAAATCAAGCTAGCTACCTATAAATTAAAATACAACCGAAAAAAATCAGAAAAATTTAACAAGAATGAATAAATTAATTACTGTTTATTTCACTATTAGTATATACCTTAATTGATGAAATAATTTTAATATATCAACAAAACAAAATATATGTGAGAAAGGTATTTAAAAGTTCTTAAAACTACATATTACCGGCGAACCCTAAAAATACTATTACAATATTGTTGGTATCTCTTTATATTTATTGAATAATAAGGTCCAGACTTAATAACTGTAGGCAATTGTTTATAAAGAAGCACAAAACTTAACATAGGCTATATGAAGTACCATAAATAGAAACTAAAAAAACTCTCACTAAAAGTACTAACCGACGAAAGTCAGAAATACTTCACAAGTTCTTGCATTACACAGCCATAAATTATATAACAGATTGTTTAAATTAATTACGCCAGCCAGATGTAATTAAAATCTGCCAACGTTTCGTAACTACATAAAACTTCACACATACTAGGACAAGACACCAATTGAATTAATAACACGTTGTTTAAATTATTAACGCCGGTCAGATGTTTTTTATAATCAGCCAAAGCTTCATAAGTATATAACATATCACGCAAAAAGTTTTAAAAATTCTTAAAATTACATTTTATTGGCAAGCCGCAGTATTATATCTATTATTTTGTTACTACTCCTTAGTAGTAGTTAATAAATAGATCCAAAATTAATAACAGTGGGCAATTGTTTATAAAGAAGCGTAAACCTTCACACAGGGTATAAAGGTACCATATATAAGACAAAAAAATTACAGTAAATAAAATACCCGGCGGAATCCAGAAATACTTCACGTAATTAATTTAAACAACCTGTTATTAATTCAATTGGTGTCTTGGGCAAGCACTTGTGAAGTATTTGTGAAGTTCGTCAAATAGTTTATTTACCATTTATTTTTTGTCTAATATATGGAACTTGTGGAGTCTGTGTATAGGTTTGCGATTCTTTATAAACAATTGCCTAGAGTTATTAATTTTGGAGCTATTTATTCCAAAAATATAAAGGAGTAGTAACAAAATAATAGATGTAATTCTGTGTTTTGCCAATCATGTAGAATTTTATGATTTTTAAATTTGTTTGCGTGATATGTTATGTACTTATGAATCGTTGGCTGATGTTAAACTATACTGACCGGCGTAATTAATTTAAACAACCAACTATTAACTCAATGAGTGTCTTGTGCAAGTACTTGTGCAGTATTTTTGAATTCCGCCAGTTAGTTTATTCACTGAGAATTTTTTGCCTAATATATGGTACCTGTATAGCCTGTGTAGAGGTTTGCGCTTCTTTATAAACAATTGCCTACAGTTATTAATTATGGAGTAATTTATTCAATAAATATGGAGTAGTAGTCACAAAACAATAGATGCAATTCTGTGGTTTTCCGGGAAAGTAGAATTTTAAGATATTTCAATTTGTTTGCGTGATATGTTATGTACTTAAGAAACGTTGGCTGAGTTAAAACACAACTGGCCGGCGTAATTATTTTAAAGAACCTGTTATTAAATCAATAAGTGTCTTTTGCAGGTACTAGTGAAGTATTTCTAGATTTCGCCGGTTAGTTTATTTACTGTGAATTTTGTTTTGTATATGGTACCTGTATAGTCTGTGTAAAATTTTGCGTTTCTTTATAAACAAGTGCCTACAGTTATTAATTCCGGAGTAATTTATTAAATATATATGGAGTGGTAGTGACAAAACAATAGATGTAATTTTGAGTTTTGTCGGGAAAGTAGAATTTAAAAGTTTTTAATTTGTTTGCGTGATATGTTATGTACTTATCAAACGTTGGTTGATTTTAAACAAAACTGGCCCGCGTAATTAATTTAAACAACCTGTTATTAAATCTATGAGTGTCTTGTGCAAGTACGTGTGAAGTATTTCTAGATTTCGCCGGTGTGTTTATTTACTGTAAATTATTGTCTAATATATGGTACCTGTATAGCCTGTGTAGAGAAGGTTTGCCGCTTCTTATAAACAATTATGAAGTCAGTTGATTAATTCCGGAGCGATTTATTCTGATAAATATAAGGGTAGTAACAATAATTGTCGTTATTCTGCGTTTCGTCGGTAAAATGTGTAATTTTTAGGAATGAATTTGTTTAACGTTTGTTTAAACGCGGCTGAATGATGTGATGTACTTTCGCAAACGTTGGCTGATTGTTTAATAACAACTGCGGGTAATTACTTTAAAACAATTCTGTTATTAACACCAATGGGTGTGGTTACGGCAAGAACTTGTGAAGTATTTCTGAAACCCTTCCAACCGCCGTTACTTCTTTTAGCTGAGAGTTTTTCCTCTCAAGAGTTTTTGATGGTACTGATCATAGATAGCTGTGTAAGTTTTGTGCTTCTTTATAAACAATTGCATAACATTTTATTTATCTTTGGACCCTAATTTATTCAATAAATATAAAGTGATAGCAACAATATTATGTTAGTAATTTTCGGGTTTGCCAGTAAAATGTAGTTTTAAGAATTTTTAAATACCTTTCTTACATAAATTTTGTGTTGATATATTAAAATTATTTGAACAATTACATTTGAACAATTGGTTTTATAATAATGGAAAAATGGAGTAATTAAATAGTAATTTATTTATTTATTCTTGTTAATTTTTCTGATTTTTTCTGTTGTATTTGGATTTGTGCCAACTAGCTTCAGGTTGAAGCTAGCTGACCCTTGATTTTTTTTTAAATGGCTGGCGTAATTAATTTAAAATTATGATTATTAATGAGTAATTAATTAGTAGTAAACGATGGCATGTAGTTTTTGGTGGTCCTATATAGATGGCTAACCAGCTTCAGTGTGGTCCCACCCTCACCCTCCCCATCCCCACCTCCGCAATCGCCCACATCTCCCCATCGCCCCATCACCACCACCGCCCCCATTCCCATCACCAACATCACCCCAGAGGCTTTTCTACGTTTAGCATTCCGTAAAATATGGATTAGCAGTTTTAATTTCTCATAAGATTCTTGCAATTATGATTAATTTATTTGAACTCACCAACACACAAAGCGACACTCCCTTGAAAAGGTCCATTGCACATTGCGGCAGAGTCCTGCAGGAGAGAAAAACATAATTAGGCCATTATGAATGAACAAAGAATTTGTTACTTTCAGAGCCTCATATTTACTTTGACGAAGGCACTGAAGACACATGTGTAGCACTTTATTGTAACCACTACATACCTGTTTAACACATTTCAAAACACTCTTTGTAATGTAATTTATTAGTATCTTAATAGACTAAATAGACCTTATAGTCCTTACAAATTCTGTGGTTTCAAAATGTAAAAGCATAATTCCCAAAAGTAAACTAAGTGAACATTTTAGAAATTTTGCGAAATTACGCGAACATTTTAGCACTTGGGGCAATAATAAATGATACTCATAAAAATTTCAAGTGTGTAATTAAAGGTCTAAATAGATTGGGTTCGTAGGCTTCGTCTAAATAGATTCGTGCAGCAACTAAATAGATTCGTACCATTCGAGAAAATCCTGATCCGGCATTTTATAACGACATTAAGCGTTTGAAAGCCCCTGCGTGGAGGGCTTACACTGGAGTAACATGGGGCAAGAGTCCGCAGTTTCTATAAAAAAAGTGTTTCCACCCGTGCAATTGGTACATTGATTCGATTTTTACACTGAGCTATGCTTAATGTATTAAGAATAAACTGCCCAAACAAGAATGACATACCTTTAAATTCTATTCATCTAAACAAATATCTCATACGCATTAAATTAATGTATCATCGGATTTATTAGTTTATGATAAAATGTAGTAAATATATTCTAAAAGGTCATAATATAGTCTCCGATTGCAAACTGTGATAAAAGAAATTAAATTTTGCAATAGAAATAAGGATGCTCTGCACGATAATTCTCACACAAATCACTTATAAATTGCCCTCCCTCATAGGCAGTGTCATGCCACTACTGTTTACACGAAACATTGGATCCAGTTTTCAGCAGGAGGGTCCTTGAATTCCATTTTGAAAGCAAATAAAAGCTCTAATGAGGTATTTTCATTGGCAACTCTTTCCTTTCCTCTCTTTTACGTTGAGCTGCAAAGCGATTTCTTATTGACATTTCTGGGCTGCTTATTCTACATTTCAAGTGACGACGTGAGCTGTAACGATGTCAGTATGGTCAACTTCTTTCCTCACCCCGTTCGTTTTCTTTGCGATGAGCGTAATGGCCGATAGAGAGTAGTGTTGTTTTCCGCGATTTTGTGACGTTTCACAATTTGGAGAGTCGCGTTCATTCAAAAAGATGTATTGAATAGTTGTCCTAGAAAGACAATGTTTATTATTAAATTTAGTCACTCCCATGATCTTTCAATTTCATAAGTTGCCGTTACTTAATGTAGGTTAGGTTACTTTGGTTGCCCTTTTTTTCTGCTTTGAAATATTAGATCACATTGTTTACATCGGAAGAGAATTATCGTCACACTGTCTGTGGTTGTATGTTGCACAAACTTTAATTTAGGGCGGTTTCCACTCGCACCCCAAGAGAAGCAGTGCTAGAATGATTTGTGTAGCATAACCCATAGACCTAGAGCCCGTACGAACGGTTGCGATGAATTTCGAGCAGTGTTTTTTATCATTTACTCCCCAGAATGGCCGGTGAGGCATCCTTAATGTTTGTTACATATAATGTCACCTGATTCTTCAAACAAAATTACTACGTATTGCATACAAGAAAAAAGTAACTTCACCGTAAAAAGTCTTCAGTAATTTAAAAAGCTATCCCGATGAAAGTTTTTCCATAAGAGCCTGAACTAATTTAAACTTATTTTATTTAAAAAATGCGCCGATAAGGCTCCATTTTTTCTCCACCTTCAAGAACATATAATTTACTTTTATTTGAAGTATTTTTGGTGGTGCTTCACCATGCTCGCTCGATCGAAATAATACCTTAAATTCAATTTTCTCGAAGACAATTTTTTCGGAAAAATTGTATTTGCTATTCTTCATGAAAATCAACCCAGGATTTGGGGAATGTTTTGTGACGGGAGCTTTCGGACATCCCTCATAACACAAATAAACCTTTACAGTCTGAGCCCAATGAGCTACCACTACGCATGCGAAGGACGTTCATTGGTGGCATGCATTGGCTCTTTAGTTTCTGCACGTGTTTGCACCAAGTGAAGTTATCAACTGTAAGGGCAAGAAAAGTGGCCGATTTCACAAAAGAAAGATGCAGGCTCGCACGGAAAAGAACTGGACGGTTATGGAGGAAACAGATTCTGAGCAAATTCAAGCAGGTGGAATTTGAGGAGAACTTGAAACCAGTGTTGTGCCATGGTTCTTGCAATCGCGTAAGGATAAGATACGTTTGCCTTACGATAACCTGCACAGAGAGCAAAACATAACAATGTCAACGAAGAGCGATTCTTTTATAGGCCCTCTTATGATTATCACTATACCGTTGATAGTTTCAGGGAAAGTCACCTCATCAGAGGTGTATCTATCTACGGAAGACACAGTACGTGCCATGGATAAGGGGCTCTATTTAGAGTATTCGTCAGGGCCTCAGTTGCCTCGGAGGGCATGCAGGTGTGACGTCTGGATATCACAGTGACGCACAAGCAACCAGAGCTTTCACATACAAATTATTAACAAAGAAAAAAACAAATATATACACTTTAATATCCTACTTACACCTAGCTTCTGATGAACCTACTATCCTGAGCGGACGGATCAAACCGATTGAAGATGGTTTTGATTGTGGCATTCGCACTCCTATTCTGGAGCGCGCACAAAGCTAGCTTCCGTGACCGGATGTCAGCTGGGACACAAAGTCCGTTCTGGCGCACCAACGGCTGGTTTGCCTCGATCGCAGGAGCGATCTTAATCGATTGAGAATCGGCGTGAATGGACTCAACCACTCTTCACTTCGGAGCAGCACACAGCATCGCTCCCGTGACCGCAGTCACCAATGACCTAAAGTCGGAGGCTTGTCAACTAGTGACTCGAGCTCGCGAGCCTGGCTCGCATATGCACCGTCGTGGCGCCAAGTTTTATGCACATGCAGAGGTTCTCTCACGTTAAACCACACATGGGCTTTGTACACTCCGTTATTTAGGAGAGGCCCACGGACCTCGTCCACGCACTGCCCCGTTGTTATCACAGCGAAAGGTTTCTATAAGCCGGAAGACCCAGAAGCCTTGGGTTTCCGTTTCGCGCGTCTTGCTTTACGGAAAAACAGCTTCTCTCTTCCTGTGGCGAGGCTATCCTCTAACAAGCGTCCCCAAATAGATGCCACGAGGCACGCTGTAAACGTTACACAGGGTGTTAAAGTCGAATTTACATGGCAGATTCAGAAAGTGAGGAGGTCGATCATAGGATGAATAATTAAATACAACTATCGCAAAGATGTGGGTCACTGAAAATGGTATCTTCTATATGGACAAAAATTATAATATCTTACATTGTGGTGTTAGAAACAAACTTTTCACAACGGGGTCTAATAAAAAAAGTGTCAACACGTAGTGTAACAGAATGTCATCAAGATCACCGTATTGATTTACGATATGCTTACAACTGACTTCGGGAGAATGATTAAGAATGCGAGTTACTGTACCCTTGAAACTAAAAACGGAGACCAATCAAGAAAACACATGGTTATAATTTATCATTAATATCTTCGTAATTAAACCATCAAACTCAATTACAAAATAACCCTCACATTCCTAGAAGTTCTGGGAATAACTGGTAGAAAAACTCTGTTGTGTCTCAGATCAATAAAATGCATGTTATCGTAGAGTAAACGTTAAAAATTTGCGTTTGAAACAGAATGGACGAGCCGAATAACCCCGAGCTTCTTCGTGTATTGGCAACACAGCTTGCGACAGAAAATGAGAGTCTTACGTAAAATTGCATTGGATAGAAATTGGATAGAGGGCAATACTTCATAAGGTTCCGTAATGCAATAAAATATTTGGACGCACAATAATCCGAGCCGATTGATCGGGTGTAAGTTAGCTCCCTACCATCCATATACAAAAGTCCGATGCCCAAGTCAATGAATTGGACCACGACGAATGTTGCCCTAAACACGTAACTACTTACTCCTAGGAGGCATGGTAGAAGTGTAGCGCAAGGAAAGAAAAGGGGAAACAAACAGATCCCTCCACCGCCGGGACACCCATTCCTTTCGACACGGACCGCCGTGCACGGCGAACACTTTGATGAGCGTTCATCCTAAAAGAAGATGCTAAAGTAGTGATGGTGATGTATGATGTAGAAAACAAGAGGCTAGAAGATGGAGAATGTAACACACTTTCCCTGCATCCCACCGTGAGGACGCGACCCGTCCAGTGGTGGAAACTTTTAGCAGACATTGATACATCGATGTTTTATAATGATGACAATACATATCGATGTTTTAAATATGATGAAACATCGAAAATGTCCTGGTTGTAATGTGATATAAAAAATGTCAAAATTAGTTTAATGTATATTCTGCCTTAAATTTGACTGTAATCTTAATTTTCTAATCAATGTTCTATTTAGTCAGGGTTCAAAATTCAATTTAAAGATATTACCACGTAAAAATAATCAAAAAAGGTAATAACACTGGAGATGGGTTGTGAACAGCAACCTTTCTAATGAATGTTGATTGCGAGGTGAATGACTGTTGATTGATCCACACAAAAAATTAGATATTGAGAATTTATATTTATGTAATGATTTTTTTGAAAACCTCTATGTTTCTAAACAAATATATCAATCTGAAAAAAAAATAGCAAGCAAAACGTCTTTTTTTCTGCTCGAAAATATCGATAATTTAAAAACATCGATGTTATTTTGCCATCCCTCGACCCGCCTCACTTCGACGGGATATTGAGTTTGTGCCGGTGTCTCTATCAAGCACGAAGAAACAATATATAAAAATGTCATTTACAAGATTTTCTGACATCAATAGGTCTCCGTAAGTTTAGACTTACATAATGTTTAGCCCCGCTGAAGTGTCCATTCCCCCTTTCTCTCCCACAAACAAAAAATGCTGGCTATGACACTACCGTAGATCTTTCGTGTATTCTAAAGAGGCAATCAAATATCATAAAAAGTGTAAACTACAATCACTGTTATAGTCCTTACCTTCTCTTCCTGCTTCACCTCACGAATGGTCACTTCCGCCAGAAACATCCCAACTGGTGGCATTAGGTCCTCCTGCAATGGACAAACACTATTGCACTTGCAAGTTTCCTTATTATTTATATATTAGTAAGCAGATAATCTGAGACAAACATTCAAAATACAAACTAGCGGGGCTATAAAATGGCACGTACTTTCTCGAACTACCTTGTTTCCCAATATACCGACTCAGTTATAGGTTTTCGATTTTACCCAACTCTTTTTCGTGGCGCCATCTCTTCAGTGAACGCCAGTGCCTCTCGCGGCACTTATCGCCTGCTCCAGGGAGAGAAGAAGGCCAGGAGAGGTGGCTCAGGGCATCAAATGACGTATCCTGGGACGTATGAAGCTCCTGGGGTTCGACACCCGACGGTGGCAGGATTTTCGACAGTGGCTTGTCAGTTACGTCGCGTTCTGGCGCTGTCTGAAGTAAAATTCTATTCGCCAGCTGCTCTGATTGTTAGTTTTCCGTGGTTTCTCCGATTAATACCAGGCAAATGCCGGAGCAGTACCCTACCAAACGGGCTACGGACCGCGCGTGATCTTTCCTTCCCATTTCTTGTCCTATCCTCACCCCTTACCTACATGCAATACACTACCTCACTACCACACGTGTCAGGAGACCACTCGAAAACTCAGAGCTTGTCCCGGCTGGGACGGTGGGGTACCTGATTGTGGAAACCCCGCTAGCCGACGGAAGGTCGATGCCAGATCTCGCCACCCAGCGAGGCAAGATCACTGTCAACTCCCGAGAAAAAACATGTACTACACTTACGGACTAATGTCCTTTCCCCGTTGGCGCACCCGGAATCACTAGTAATCAATCAATTCGGGGACGGAAGAACGCCTTCGCGCTCTCCGAAGCTCTCCGCGCTCTTAGGCCTATCTCCTGTTCCCGCCCTTTTCATATTTGCCTAAAGTGAAACTTGACCACACCTCTGTGCTTCCTAGAACGTTCTAGGTGTAGTTATCGAGTGACCTGTGAGGCCAAGTGTTCATTTATTTTATTTATTTAACGTCAAAAACAGTTAAAAACTGTGCGTGCCCTGCTGTGGGGAGAAGTGGAGTCTACGTTTTCCAAAATTCTAGGATCCCCACACTAACTCATATACAAGTTAAATTCAGAATACAGATGGAATGAACAATTTTGGCAAGAACTGATAAGAAAAATTCGCTCCAACATAATAAAAACTAAAAACTAAAGGCAAATCAGCTACAGCGTTTGGCTATTATTCCTCTTTCTATTTGGCTTCCTCTACAGTTTGGCTATTATCCCACTTCCTGTTTGGCTTCCTCTGCAGTTTGGCTACTATCTATCCCTTCGTGAAGGACTCGTGGAGAACATTGAAGACGATAGCGTTAGGGAACCAAAAAAATGCCATACTTCCAGGATGAAAGTATGTGATTTCAAAGGAAACGATTAAACTGATTTTGAAAATCAGTATACGACGTTTTTATCACGCAATGTTCAAAAGATATAAACATATTTAGAATTTGAAATAAAGAAAATCCTATACTAATTTCCACTTAGTCGCTCCGATTGTACAACTACAAACTTTATGACTAGTGTTTTACTACAAAAAAAATTATGGGCATGCTTCATATGAAGTAGGAACAAGTTAAGCATGGAATACGCACTTTAGTGCAATAATATGCAGACATTAAAACGGTTTGTTGGTATTCTCTACAACATTGGTAGAGCAAATGAGTAAAGTATTAGACAAATAACTAAATAATTTAAATAATAAATATAGAATGCAATTTCTATTCTTTCTTTTTGAAACTCAAATTTTAAATGTTCAATAAAGTAGAAATTAGTGACACCAACTCACCTCATCATCTTCCTCCTTTATTTCACTTAAAGCGCAAGGCTCCCCTTGTTCCTGCAAATGACAATAGAATAATACTTCAACAGATTAATACAACACTAACAGTTAAGAAAGAAGAAACATAATTTTGTGCTGAGTTAAAAAACATCAGAAATTGCATTAAACCTACTGAGATTGTATGCAACGTATTATTGCAAACCAATTTGAATTATATGAAAATGTACTAAAAAACTAAAAATAAATTTTCAAAAAAATCTAAAGACTTATTACAAAAGCATTTATTACATTAAACATTAAACTGTCTGCAGTTATTTTTAACCTAGAAACTAGACGTTCAACGTGAACTACAAACACGTATTCAAATATTTTAAGTAAATCATGGTTCTTCTTGAATTGTTCAAGACGGATTGATGCCAAGCACTAAATAAGATATGAAATTGATCATTTATTGACTTGATTGAGATACTCATCATAAATAATAATTACTGCAGATTTTAATAAATATCATTAAAATGGTAGAAGTACTAGAATTGTGTATCACGTACACAGTGATAAAATTCCTACACTTAAAGAAATGGTTGTTCACTCCCTATTCTCTTTTCGAAACAAGTACCGTGTGTTGACAAATCAGACCTGACTTTCTCATAATTGTACAGGTCAACTATTAAAGTTCCAAATCTTAATACACAAAAATAAATGTTTGTTCGTATTTTATTCGCTGCCTTTCATTAGATTACAATAAACTTATTCAACTTTTTTGTCAACTTATTGTTTACATTGGAGCGAAGAATATAGGCAAAGAAGAATCGAAATGTGTGTATGTCTGTCGCACATAGACGCGCGTTGATGATTTTATACGTTTATCCTGACTCAAGTGCCCTTGAACATTGATTGATGATTCCGGGCGCGGCAACTGCTGAGGTCATTAGTCTCGAATGAGTAGTGTATGGCGGTAATCTTCTCCAACCGGATGGTAATCTTGCCCCGTTTGCCGGTGCCAACCCACCTGTCAGCTAGCGGGATTTTCCATGACCAGGTATCTCCCACCAGCGGGGCACCGCCCCGGCCGGGACAAGCTCTAAGCTCCCGACCGGCCTCCCTGCATGTGTGGTAGTGTATTCGTGTTAGAATGTGGGTGTGAGAGGGGTGAGGATAGAACCAGGAAGAGGAAGGAAAGATCGCGCGCGGTCCGTTTGAAAGATCGCGTTTGTCTGCTGCGGCATTCACCTGGTGTTGATCGGAGAAATCAGGGAAAATTGCCGATCAGAGCAGCCGACTGCTAGAATCTTCTAGACAGCTACTGAATTCGACCTAGACATCGACAAGGTGGACTCGAAAATCCTGCCACCATCGGGACTCGAACCTAGGGGCCTCCTGGTCAGAGGCACTACAGTGACATTAGTTGATGCCCTGCGACATCTCTCGCGATGCCCCTGAACAGAAGATATATGCAACCTGCTGCGCACTCCAGTATTCAGCACTTTTTCGCTGCATATTCTGCCCCTGCCATTGAGCGATGTCGGAATTATTTACTCGATTACAAACTACCAGAAGTAACCTAGTATTGCCAGGGTAATTATTTATCGCAATCACCTATTAGTTAGGAAAAGTATTAATATACTGTTTGGTTTTTTGGGACCAAGTAAATCAAATTTCTCCAAGACAGTATCATCGTAAATGCATGCTCAAAATTGAGGGAGATCGTTTTAACAATAGGATACTTGACAACCATATCCACACCCAACCATGTACATGCCATGACGTAGAACAAACTATGCTCGCGAGAAAGTCGTTCATATTTAAAATGTTTTGCAGAGAGTAACGTAAAACGTGATTATAGTGTGACTAAGTTTAATACATTGCAATTAGCAAAACTGCCGGATCCACTAGTTGGTGTAAATAAGGTTTGTTTCTGTAGGAGAATTGAAATGTTTGTATCACATATATTTATTATACAATTTTTCACATTTTCAGTTAAATCAAACTATCCGAATAACCTAACATAGCCAAGGTAATTATTTATCGCAATCATCTATTAGCCAGGAAAAAATTATTACATATTGTATTATGTTCAAGCGTAGAATGTGGAATATTATCTATTAAGAATAAAATTAAATAATAAAAAACAGAAAAAAGGGGTAAACCTGGCTCCTCTAGTCGGACGTTCCTTCGGGCTAAACCCGCCGCCCACTCTAGAATACGGTGTTCGAGATCCTAAGGAGCCATCCATGAATTACGAACGGTCTGTAGCAGGGGAAGGGGTCAAGGCGAATCTCACCTAATAAACGTGGCTGAGAGGGGAGTCTCGGCAAATAGCACGTATTTTTCCGCCAAAAACAGTACTAAATTGCGAGAACGCTGGGATAAGTTAAGTAAAACACATTTCTATACTAAAATATGGCTGTCTTGCACAATAATTTTATCGCGGTTATGTGAATGCTACAATAAGTAGCATAGTATAGTGAAAAAAGAATCTAACAAAAATTACATTTTTATCATTAACGAGATAAATCTCATTACATGTATTTCTACAAAAAATTTAAACAAAAATTACCTAGCGTTTAGTAAAAAGAACCTAACTTTTGATAAAGTTTACCTAAAGTTTGGTAATACTTTTTTCAAAAATTTCTGAAAAAATAAAGAGAGTAAGATTTGTTTTACAGTTGCTAAAGAGTTTGATAATATTTGTAAGACTTTTCCTCTCAGAGTAAAAACTCGATTGTTTAGCCGCCACCGACCAGCCAAATGCGCGACTCGACGAACGCTGCTGCGTACAAATTGGCCGCGACCTGCTGGATTTACTTCGCCCGTGACGCCGACGAACAAAGAAATGTAGCAGGCAAATCACCGCGACCGGTGGTGCAGTGGGAAGACCACCATTTAAATCAGTGTTCTACTCGCCGTGGCGCGTACTGCTGCCTCTTGCGCTTCTCGTGGCGAGAGTCCGCCGCCGAACGCTACAGCACTGCGAACCTGCCGCACGTGGGAAGACCTCCATTTAAACCAATGCTTTGATACGAGCCTCGGTTTAGTAGCGCGCTGCTGTTGCGACGTGAGAACGGGCCCTTAACATTTTAGAAGAAGTAGAACCGCGTCTACAATATTCTGCAAATAGCAATAAGCCTCTAACGCCTACGCAGCAGTTCTTGATAGTTTTAAGCTTTTGTGCTATTGGACATATTCATCTTGTAGTAGGCAATTGCAATGGAATTTTCACATCCTTACGGTATTCTATCTACGGTGCACCTACACACGCGGCAGTTTGGAGTTGTGTGATGCGCAAGTAAAGTGCATGCATTTCTCAAACATACATGTGACACTTCTCATACATATTTCGATTTTCACTCATTATCTACTGAGCTGCTTTGAACACTTTACTGAATACAATGCTGTATGTGAATTGAAGATAAATATGTAAATAACTAAAAATCCTGGTTTTGAAAGCAAATTTCTGGTTCTTTCAGGCATTTTCAAATTCCCGTTTTCTTTCCGGTTTTCAAGGATTTCAGGTTCGCTGGCCACCCTGACGAGTTAAAGTATGAATATAGGCGGAAAAGAGCGTTTTGGCAAGAATTGATAAGAAAATATTAGTTCTCACGTTATAAAAACTAGTATTTGCGAAAGTAAATTAGATCAGTCGATCGGAATGTCATGAAAATACATTTGTAGCGAATTTTTTAAACAAAAACTTTTATTGCCGGGCCCTAGTAACGAAAAAGTGGATTTACTATATATTATAATTTATATATAGTAATTTACTATATATTATGTAATAAATGAGAAGCACGTTGTGTCGTCAGAATCCATGGTTTGTAGATCCTTGATACCGAAAAATCGATTGACGGCGAAACGTATGTCTTGTCCGTCCGTCAGTGGTCAAGGCTTTCGTCGAAACAGTTCAGCCGATTATCTTGAAAATTGATAATCCCCGATCGATTTAAATAAACTCAAGGCCCTATGAGCTTCAAACGTATATTTTAATTTTTCGGATAGTATACATGAAGCGTTCAACATTTTTAATTTTTTTTCGAAATTATGTAATTCAACGTTGACCCCCAAGTAACGTAAATGAAGATAATAGTGCATGTATCGTTTTCGTTAAAATCTTTAATTCTCCGAAAATTAGAAAAGTTCAATTTTTTCGGAGACTTCTTACAATATTGAGGATAGAGATTTTTTCCTTAATGAAATCTGTTCTTTAAAGAAAGGTCCTGAAATAAGGTCATGCACGATTTTTCGAAAATGTGAGTAATTTTCACCTAACTTTGTGATAAATTTATTCAATTTTCATTTTTTCTAAACATTTTTTTATTAGATTGTTTTCTTTAAATTTTCTCGTTAAATCTATCAAAAAATACTAAAAATGTGGTGCAGTCTCATTTCAGGCAAAATTACTGTATTTTCGAAAATTGCAAAAATTTAACACTTCAAAACAAAACCTTGAAGAGCCTGAAAATCTGTTCTAAAAAAATAACTCTTTAAAAAAGTCATATCTTTTTGAAAAAACGAGTGGTTTTCTTAATTGTTTTCTACGAATAGAACATGGAATGCTTAAAAGAATAACTCAGGTTTCATTTCAATCTCCAATATTCGAAAATTGCAAATTTAGAAATAGTGTGTGAAAGTATGTTGCAGCACTACTAAGTTATAAGTACTGATCACATAAGGAGTAGGGATTCTTTAAATATATAGGAAATATTTCGTTGTTTTGCACAATGATTGCAGGGTTGTCAGGCAGATGCCTCCATTCTATTTTGTGTGTGAAATATCTCAAATTATTCTCTTAGGTGCATACGTCTGCCTGAATAAATTTTGCAATAGTAGATTGTCTTCCTTTCAAGCACCCTAAAAAAGTACTTACTACAATCCCAATTCACACTTACAAAACAGCTAGAAAATATCTTGAGTTTTGGTTTCTCAAATTTAATCACCTACCAATATATTATTGTTACAATTTGGTAGTCCATTTGGATTGACTTTGCCATACTTACAGTGAACTCAATGCACAAACTAATGTTTTGCCTTTCAATGTTATAACTGATCCTTTGGGTTAATTGAAATTCAATTGGTCATAATCAGCAATATTGGTTGACATCAAGGTTGTGCAGTATTTATATACCTGTTTTTGAAAAACTGTATTTTTGAGTTTTATGCACATGTATTTTAGGGAGTGTAATTATTACAATATATTTTTGCAATAAAAAAGATAAAATACAATTATATTTTCAGTATTTCAAGTATGTTAAATATGTACCTATTTAGCAAATCAAAACCTTATGTATTTTGAGTATATATTTACATACTTATTTACAAAGCATTTTGACAAAGTATTTAAAAACCAAATTTAAAGTATTTTGCCCAACCATGGTTGCCATCATGTTTTCATTACCTTTCAATTATTATGGTACTCTCTGTATTTGGGCATAAAATAGGAGACAGCAGAATGACACAGGCAATTTTGTCCTGTAATGTAAATTGTTGCAATGGAAATATTTTTGATCATTTTTTACTGAATCTGTAAGATTATGAAGAAAATATTCAAAACTGATTATAGTATTTTCTAGATCCATTTAACTTGGTGCATTAAACTCATGACTGTGGGCCTTAAGAGCTTGTGATCAAACAATTTTTCATTTATGCATCCTTCCTTCCCTCACAGCTTGCCCCTAATCTTATTGTTCGGTGCAGTCAGCATCACCCACTAATTCCTACTTTAATTATCATACATTTCAATATACAACACAAATAAAATGAATACAGACTGTTTTTACTACACCATAATTTAATTTCAATTCTTGCCTTTACAAGGGGGGATGTTGCAAGTGTTATATAATTATTTAGGGGTGGGTTCAAGCTTGCATCACGAGTGAGTTACAGGGGGGACAGAGGTATTCAAAATACTCCAAGTTTGTGTATTTTATGGACACCCCCTAATGAGGAAAGCCAGAGGGATGGAAGAGGGAGAATGAAACATGCAGGAATTTGAGAGCAGAAAGGGGTGAAGAAGGATGTAAATAAAATTACTTCCATTTAACCCCCTAGAAAGACTTAATTCCTTTTCTTGTCTTATAAGGGACTGTTACAAATAAATTCTTCATCAGGTTACTTCCAGTAGTTTCATAATAAAATAATCTGCTTGAAAATGTTATTTGACAAAACTATATGAATAACACACTTCAATCTCATTTTATTACTAATCCACAAAAATGTGGCACAAAATTATGTAGATACTCTGGTTTAAAATACTGAATAAATAGGATCTGGGAAATTTCAAGCAAAAACTTGGAAGATACAAAAGTAATACACCTACTGAGAATTCAACATCTGAATGTGTGCATCAGAACTGAATTCTCTTAACCTACTATTTTACACAACGCACATCAAGAGGATCCAGGTGTTTTTTATAATCAAAAACACAAAAAGATATCATCTTTTATGTGACATGTCTTCCTACAATTGCCTTGAGAAGAAACAAAATACGTTTTTGGACTTCTCTCAATGTATTTTTCTAAATTAATCTACTCCAGAAGCAGCGCCAGTGCCAGGTTATTTTGCGACACAGGCATAATGACACGTTAGCCCTTGCCCTCTATGTATTTGTGCAAAGCACGGATGTTTTTGTTAAAAACTGAGGCTGAAGGTTGCAGCCCTGTCATTGAGTTAGACACATGTAGCAAACATCACCTGGACTAAAAGTATTACCTCATAACATATTTTATTTTCAGAGATTGTGGAATCAATTCCTCCATATGGAGTAGGTTTTTTTCATTCTAAAGAGGACAAACTACTCACTGAGGAATTGCAATCTTCCTCTTCTGCAGGATCAATAGGTTCCTGTTTTACCTAAAGGAAAAACACAGATACATATAGAAACAGAGTTGGAAAGAAAATAAAAAGAAAAAAATAATGACTTAGTGAGTGCTTAAGGGTTTATTTGGACTTATTTATATTTTCATTGGGGAATATTATTTTTTACATTTATTGAACATAAAATATTGACTTTCACACCCACTCTCACACAACTATTGAAATAAAAACAAAAGAATGGCTCTGCCCCATCATTGCAAACACCAATATTTAAAAAACACGTTGTTTGTACTAAATGACCAATCTGAATGTGTGGCCATGTTTTGTAATGCAAATTATTAGCTCTTGTCACATGGAAACATATTATTAATCAATTTGCAGACAATCACTTACAATGCAAGAGTCTAATAAACGTTTTCGTTTTCTGATTTCTTTTTTAACTGTCCATAAATTAGAATTATCTTTTTCATCACCCATTCTCCAATATTTACACTAATTTTAATATGAATTGGTTTCAAGTTTGCCTCTCAAGGATAGACTTTCTGGCACCGAGCTCCTCAAAATTTCTCTAATAACCACACCAACTGTCTTCAGGACACAATTGAACCATTGCTACAGAATAATGGCCTAAGATATAAAATCATGCTTTTCTTGGAATTGATTTTAGAATATTGAATTTTGTGTCGTCCGTGCGGGTAGGATAGAATATATGATAACAAACAAAACATATCAGGGAATTAACGAGTTTGTATGATTGCTAGCCGCTATAGTAAAATTGTTGAGAGGAAGTAAGATTTAAATTATGCTAGTCCCTGAAAAATTCATAACTCGATATCATAGTAATGATCACTTGAGCCCCAACACTTCATTTAGAAACTATAAATTACAATGCAATTCCAATTTCAACAACTAGCCTCTTTGATTATCTTAATAGAATCAAAGGTATATGCCCAATGAATGAAACTAAACAATGGAGTAATAACAGTGACGGTAACTTTACCATGTTTCTGGCCTACACACATTTCACTATTTTGAAAGCACTCCGAAGACATTTTACCCTCAATCTTAATGTTCATTTTCGTCTACAACTTTAATTTCATCCATACTTTTACGGCATGCTATAACTGGTACTATACCAAACAAAATTCGTCTATGCCCGCATCCGAACGTATGGATCAGAGTATTATAAATTGTTTTTGTTTTTTAGTTTCTACTGAGGTTATCTCACATTTGTATTATTAACCTATCTTCTTTGGACATCTGACGTGACCGGAGTGATCTTGAGCATATTGAGCAAGTATTCGATTGTTGCTTGGATAGCAACGATGTAATCAAAACGGTTATTATCGATACTGAACTAACGATTACTTACATAATTTTCAAATAAACACCTGAATAAACTTAATACTTTTTATACACATTTTATAAAATACTTAACATTATTTCTTCTCGTGATTAAAAACGAATGGAAAAATATTCGACCATAATATTAAATGCAGTCTTCACCAGGCTTCTTCTCTTCTGCGCATGCGCAGTTTCAAATTTCGCGCACTAGTGCATCTGCGCATGGGCAGAAGATCCATAGTTACTGCCCGGCAATGTCGTGCACAAACTCGCTAACAGGCATGAGGCAATGGCGATCGCCCGGAGCAAATCCCCTCCTGATATCATAATAGGAGGATTGTCAGAGGCCTCGCAAGGGGCCAAATGAAAAAAAAATTGAAATAGAAATTCGAATTGCAGTAAATCATTATAATTTTAAAAGTCACAGTACGTATCTGAATATTCATCAAAATTATCAATTAATGTTTTATCTTAAGTAAGTATATTAGCCCATTCAGCCCCAGAGGGCTAAAGGCTTCCTGATTTCTCAGAAAAGATTTGTGCCGTGTGTCCTAACAGAGCTAGTTCGCAGACTGGATAATTACACTTCGAAATTCCTTAAGTAATAGTGATCTAAAATATACTCTTTTGATAGTGATAGTTTTATAAGTTATGAACTAGTACGAGTATGAAATGAATCAAATGACGCTAAAATTAATACGTTTACACTGGAATTAATAATTTATTATTCCATGAATTTAAACCAAGAGTGATTTTACTTAAACATTACCTAACTAAACACAATTCTTTATGTTTTAAGCCTCACCATTGGAATATGCATTATGTGATCATTAAAACGTTTACTAAAACTATTAGTTGAATGTTGCCGTCGCTGTAAACTGTTTTTAAAAGTTGTTCAATTATTGCTGAAAACTGGTCACCCAGAGGCTTTGTTTAAATAAGTTTCAACAGAAAGAGCCTCGGATATTCAATGGAAATCGGTAGTTGCTGATAATGTTGAATACTTCAGGCTCAAAATTTCCCATACCCAAAGACTTGGCACTGTTACCTGTCTAACGGATATGAAAATATTGCAATTTCAAAAATAGTAATTAGCAGAAAAAAAAACTTGCAATGGATGAGATGATGCGAGATAGTTAGAATTTAGCCACTAGTAAACAAATTCGTACGCTTTTTATTTTCTATTTTTAGAAATTTTTTCTAATATGCACATACTCGCATAAATAGATCACCTGTAAGGCTGTTCTTCAGCGTAATTCTTTATCCTTCATGAAATATCATTTATCAAGTAGTTTCCGAGAAATTGAGACACAATATCTATCTATTACAATTACATTTGATTCTGTCCCCCTTATTTTGCACGTTTAGAACATTTAATGTGCCATGTCGAATATGCATGGTTTTTCCGGTCTCTTAATATCTTACTCCAGTTCTATTTTTCTTCGATTCATTAGCGTCTTAAATCATATAATTAAAGTTCCATTAATACTTACTGCGAACTTAGGTTTGCAAACTTTATTATTAAGAATAAGGCATAAACGAACAAACACTGCCATTTACTTAGTGTTTCAAGTATTGAAGGTCTACATGACAGTCATTAGACTTCAGTGCGTTCAAAGCAAACAAGCTCTGTAGAGAGTTTTGTTTCGCGTTTCACAGGTTCAGAAAAGCCTGCAGATTTGTCATCTTACGTAAAAGCAAATTAGTGCGGGGTTTGGCGCAGAAATTCCATCTGTGTACTGGGGTTCATCAACTCCACCTACATAAATAACTATCTTAGGTGACGTTGGTTTAAATTCTCCGACTCCCATAAGATGTATAGAGCAAAAATACGTGTGTTTTGGGAAATTTCTTAGATTCTTCTGGACGATCAAAAACAAATTATAGTTTCCCACCAGAGACCATGCCTGCAGCGACGCTGGTGCAGGAAAAGTGGTCTAACCGTCACTGACGTGACGTTCCGCACACACAATTCCGCATTACTCAAATACTGTTATAGGATATTTTAAAATATATTTCCAAAAACTTTTTCTCAGCTTAATGTAACTTCGTTATTTGCTAAAATAAAACCACTCATTATTTCTTGATAAAACATTAACATTTTTTTATTTTTTCACTGGTAGGGGGGCTATGTTTTAGCATTGCCCCGGGCCCAAAATAGTTTAGCTCCGGCACTGTCGAAAAGACGACATATTCTACGGCGTAGGAAACCTGGGATCATGCCAATCAACAAAGTATTTGGTTATCACAAACAGAAAATCTGGTCTGGAAGCAGTTTTTTACGCTGAATCCAGAAAAGTAATCAGTTTTGGGGCTATCACGTATATCTCGCACATACAGGAGTATTTGAAGTTCATTTTCGAGTGTACACGACCTTGCAATTTCTTGGTGATAACACCACAAAAGGAACCACGCATTTAAGTGAGTGTAACAGAATATTGCATTGTGCATTTGAAGCACGAAACAGAATTCCATTCCCGCGAGTTACTATCGCATGCATATATCGCAATGCAGGGCGTCAATTCTTGGCTTGACTAAGAGATAAGATTCTACATTTTTATCACAAAATTTCTAAAAAAATATTTTAAACAGGAACTCCAACTTTATAGAGTTTTCGAGGGGGGTGGGTCTTTACAGAGGGGTTCCTTCCTCACTTTGGAGGGCGCCCGGTTGCAGCAGCTTATGGGCCTGGTTCATTAATAGTTTTCCAATGCACCATTATAAAGTCTCTCGCCCCCTTTGTACGTCTTGCATTAGCCCTTCCCATTGTATTGTATGTCTATGAAAATTTCGTTTCATGCCTTCAATGTATGTACATTACGTTTAGCAGCGAGACGCAGATGTAGTGTCAGGCCGGCAACTTCGTTTTAACATTGGCCTTTGGGAAGCACTGTTTTACAAAGGAATTTTGAAAGCAAAGGGGAATGCAATTTAAGTTACATTGCAAAAAATTTTTTAAAAATTTGTATTAAATTTTTAGGACCTAATCTACGGAACTTAAGCAAGGCGATATCAAATATTGTTTGACAATCCTCCACTATATTATTTTAGTAGTATGGATGGGTTTTGGGTCTCTCGCAACACACGCAATCAATATTAATAAATGAAGACTACAGAAAATAGTTTTATAGAGACTTAACAAATAGTACTTTAACTTTAAAAATGTGAAGGACTAGTTGAGAAAAACGCAAATAAATATTCATGTTCAATGCATCACGCAACCATTGGACAGCATTGTTAAGATCAATATAGTTATATAACTCCAAAATGAAGCGTTGTAAGATGGAATTTGAAGGTCAACGGGATTCACGTAAAAATTAAAACGGAATTTTTAGGTCAACGACCTCAAAAAACGTTCAACACATCGTAATCTATAGCGTAAGATCTTGGACATTCTATTAAATTTTTGACGGTTCGGATCTTTTCAATACTTCATTGCATTGCAATTTCAAACATTGCAAAAAGTAGGGTTATACTTACCCGGTCCTATTTATAGTTAAAATATTGGGAAGAAATTCTAATGCTCATTAAAACGTGCAAATGGTACTTCTCCCTCAAACGTCACATACAGATTTTACTACCCTTTAAATAAATCAATTAAATCCGGTGACCTTCAGGAAAGCGGATCAGAATACTTTTAGGACACAGTTGACGCTTCGCCACGTATTTCCGAGTGAGTGAGGGCTGACGAGAGTGGCGGAGAGACGGACGAGACCAGTGACATGTGCGTCCCAAACTGCGCCGGGAATTGAACTGTGGCCGCGGAACCGAAGCTACTCGCTCCGGTTGCTCGCGGTGCCGCGCCACTAAATAAATGGCGCCGACAGGTGTCTTCGAGAATCTGCGGCGTGGTGCGCAGAGCTCGAAGCGCCCAACGACACCGCTCCAGCTGAGGAAGCCTTGCAACGCCCTTGACCCCTTGCAACGCCTTCCGGCCAACGCGCAACTTGGCAACGGTAACTCATCCAGTGGGACTCTGCGGCGTTCGCGCTCCTAGCGGTCTTCTATGTTAATACAAGTGCTTCAACTCCCAAGATGTCATTTCAAAACAGGGCAAGCCCCTTTGCATTTCCCGAGCCAAGCAACCCTGAAATTACCCCGGCCTGATTCGAGAGCTGTCAAATCTGTGCGGAATTGCGTCTGTGGAGCTGCCGGGGCAAACTGCGATCCCTGCCTCGATCGCAAGGGAGCCGCTACCGGTAGACCGCTGAAACTGCCATCACCAGGTCAGCGGTTCCGTGACCTTCCGACGAGAGTCGGCGGCTACAATCGGTCACACTACGCCGACATTATAAAGAAGATGAAAAATTATGAGAATATTATTATACCCATACGTTTTCTTGAGCCCCGGAATACCTACCCCACTCCTTTGCCAACATCAGTTGAATGAAAAATAAATTATAGCAACAAGGAAAAATGAACTACAAATTTTATACAAAATTCCTCTCATCAAAATAACCAATACTCCCCACTCCTCTCGCAACAAGCGAAGCGAGGGCTCAAGGAAACGTGCGCGGATAATACTGATCATGGTGAGAAGCTATTAGCTGTACCGAGGACACAAAAGGTGTATTTTCATTTTAGTATTGCATTTGCTTTACAGTTTCTTATTTTTATTTTTCATTCTAATGTACGCGTTACTCGAGTTTTATTTGTATGCAAGTTCAATTTTTTAAAGGTTTCTGGTCTAATTTTATCATTTTAGTATTTGTCCATGAATTTAAAATTATACGGAGAATAAACCTTCATGGTGAGAACAAGAGGCTATGGAAAGCTGCAATGTACATATGCTCTGTGTTACTGCAGAGAGAAGGACGTTGAAGGAAGTTGCCTACCTTTGTTATTTTTTAGCGAAAACCAATTCCAAAATGTATTAAATCTTTTTTTTGAAATGATGACTGGCATTATTGTGAAAGCCGACTCAATAGTTGAATGGACAACAACCTTGTGCAGCACTAGGTAACAAGAGTTTGGCAACATCACCCTGGTGCACTAAACTTGCCCTACACGTTAGTACTAGACAGTTCCCGTGGCGACACCACAGATTAAGTAAACCATTAAATAAGGGGAAAAAGGAATGTGAAAATCCCAGGAGGTTTAACCTTGTTCCACAGTCTCTGGATGTGTGCATCAATCACTCTTTCAAGGTAGCGGTTAAACAGTATTACGAGGTGCATGGCAGAGGAAAACCACAATTATATCCCAAGAGGAAAGATAAAGCAATGGGAAGTTTCTCAATTCTGCAGATGGATAAAAAGTGCTTGAGAATCGATTAGGCTTTCTCTGGAGGATAATAACTTTAACCCTTTTGGACCCTTATGTTGAGCAGGAGTTGACAAAAAGATTTTTGTTTTCCACTCTGATGTCAAGTCCCACTCAACACACTTTCTGTTTGTGTTGTGCCTCATAATGCTGCATATTTGGTTGTTGGAAGTTGTATTAATAAACCATTATGTGTTGTACAAAAAGTCTTGCAACAACAACATCAATGTTCCTTCATACAAATCGTTTCACAGAAGGGCTATCAGAGGCTCGTTGGGAGAAGAGGGAAGGGGAAGTCACGAGCAAAGCTGCCTATCAACTTCTGATGATGAATGCCTCAATGGAAAATTTATGTTAAAAACAAATTTCCTGGAAACAACCATAATGACTGCAGTCTGTACAGACATAAAGAAGAATAAAGGAGGCCGAAAAGAAACTATGAAACATGTTCTCGGCAGCCAGCATTGCACCTAGAAGAATGCTTCAAAAGATATCATACACAGAAGAAATTAAAATTTTAAACCTTAGAAAATAAAGACACTTTCAAATAACTGCGTATGTGTTTTGAATTAAACACGTTAATGCTATACCAAAGCGCAATTACATCATTAATTCAGATGACTGTGTTCCATGGTTGGTGTGTGAAATTTAGTGTGTTCTTGGGGACAAACAGTATGTAGCATATGGATAGTAAAGGGTTAAGAAGTGCAGTATTACACTTTCAATGGTCAGTATTGAGGATGATTTGCTGTGGCAAGATGATGATTACCCCGTCAATGGCAACCATTTTTTGCCAGCGACGACAAGAGTGATGATTAGAGCCTGAATTTCTATGCAGTAAAATGCCATTTGATATTCAAAATTAAATCTTAAAAATATGCAGTATAAATTCATGAGGAAATAAATGTTTATTCCTAAAATGCAATGTAAAATATTTGTAGAAACATTTAAGTGTGTTATGACAGTATCGGTTCTTTAATTGAAAAACAAAGAACAGAACCATCAGTACAAAAATATTTTCTTGAAAATAATTCTATGCTTTAATTTTGCTTAGTTAACCAAGATTGGAATGCTATAATTTGTTCATGTCATAATATTTGGGAATGGGAAGGAGAATTAAGAAAAAGAACAAATGCATTGAACAAACAACATTCTATATTTATGTAAAAAATTATTTAAGTTTATGACAAGATACAGTTCTAAACTTGTTTCTGGAAAACTGGTTCATCCATCTGTTAAGATATATTTATACATTGGGGCATGCCTTTTGCTACATGATATTAGATCTTTCTTTGGTAAGCCCTACTGATGATGAACAAGCACATGGTGCTGTAATGCCCACACCAAAGCTCTTGCTTACCAGGAAAGGGTTCTTAATAGAAAAGAAAACCATGGTTATCATGGGTTTATATTTCATTCAAGTCTGAGACACTGAGTGTGCTGACCTGAAATTCAATCGTACCATTGGCTGCACACGTGGTACAAGCGATTAGTACAGGATTGTGTTTAAACATTAATAACATAATAAAGAAATGGAACAATTTGTTTGCAACAAAAGTGAAAACAATTTCTTTTTCAAGATTCCTTTTCGTAAAAATAGAGCAAGGGTATTTCTCAAGTATGTATACATTATTCAATTTCATTATGAAAATGTATTAAAACATGTAATGACTATTACTACATATTGCAATTAGTAAGTTCTCACATGGGTATACCTCAGCCAGATGAAAAGTAAAGTATACTGTATCTCATTTGCATATGTGTAAATTTTATATCTGTAAGTACAACCTGAATCAAACTTACCACACAAACTTTAATATACCTTTGACAACCTCTTGGAAACAAAAGAAAGTAATATTTCTCAGTGGTACACAAACGTATAGATAGAGATTTTACAAAATGAACACAACTGATTTTTTCATTGTAATTTATGTAAGTTTCAGAATATTAATTATTATATTATTCATGAATCCATTTATGAACTCTGAACTACTCCAAAAACCATGAATAAGTTGGGATTAGTTTTTTGAACTCGAAAAAGTGTGGTACTATTCAAATGATGCAGTCATTGTTCATCAAATGGAATCCGGCATATTATATAAAAGTTTGGTCAAATAGTCAGGGTTCACAACTGCAAATGCAATTTTTTCAAACATGTTCAAGGAAGAAAAAAGTGTGAATTAACAATACACAACTCTGAATACACAAAGCAAAAAGAAAAATTTGTTTTCAATTTTGAACTACAACTTTCCTGTGACTCCATGACTTATCCCTCTCATTCCATAAGCATCAGTAGAATTAAAATTTTTTCAAATTAATTATTTAAAAAAAAAACTGCAATGTTGATACTACAGATATTCAAATTCTTCACAATATTCAAAGCAGTCCCTGTTTTGACATCACAATCAATATGCCACAATTAAGATACTCCTTAATTAAGTTCCAATGTTGAACATATTTATTTTACTAGAATGAACATAGATACTAATCTAATCTTAGATCAGTATTCTAAGTTTAGTAACTTCTTCCACTGTCTCAAGTTCTTGAATTTCTGACCTTTCTCCCAATAAACTCTTAGGAATCTTTCAGCTATATACGAACTTAAGAAAACTTGTTTTTCCACGTGTTCGACTACTGGTTCCAAGTGAATTTTATATTTCTCTTAAAGACTAAATAAAAACTAACTTGTGGATTTCTCAATTTATCTGCAGTGCACAATTTATTCAGTTATTTCAAATAAGATACATCTTCAATCTTTACAAATAAAGAGTTTAGTTCACCATTCAATTTAAAATACACTTTTGATGTGTTACAAGTGCAAAATCCAAACATCTGTTCAAGAATATAATTTTGTGGATTCTGTGTTTAGTTAGAATAGAGAAGAATATTGAAGATATGACCTTTCCAAAATTAACCATTTTCATTACATTATAATTTTAGATGAAAAGGCCCCATCATTCAATACCTTTAGTCTTCACCATTAATCAGATGAAAGAACTGAAAGACCTTGTGCATTTAAGCATGAAACTGCTTTAAAATATCAGAAAGAATAATGTTGATATTTATTGTTTATTATAATATTGTGGTTTGAATGAATTAATAATACACCCTACAATCTACACAAGTAAAAATATCCCAAACCCAATTGAGATTTCAATGTGCCTTGACAGCCAATCTGTAGACTTGTGTGTCTGACTTGCCCTCACATAGTTGGCATTTTCAAATGTCAATAAGCACCTTTCATAATCACTACCTTCAGACAATGAACATACAAAAAGAATACATGCTTAGCAATCTGAAAATTTCACAAAAATTGAATTTAATCCTGGAATATTTTGTAATTTTTTAAATCCAATTATGGACAATTTACAACTAACTTCAGAATGAATTTAAGTTATTCCTGTTCCAACCAACAGCATTTCCCAAAAAACAAATGAAAATCATCCTCAGACACTTAATTTGTTTAGCACGGAATTTCTAATTATAGAACACTTATGCCCTTATAAAAGCATAATTTAAGTAGCAGCTTTTTATGTGTAATTTCAACTAAAGCACACATGATCCACCCAGAATGTACTAAAACACACAATGTAGAACAAAATAATTTATAATAATGTACACACATTTTTAAATAAACCATTATGCGAAATTTTTAGAACCAATTACAAGTAAGAAACGTGAAGCAATAATCTAATTTTGAACTTACAATTTTATTTTGAATGTATCTCAAATGAGTACTAGAAAACTAGAAGCAATGTAACAAGATGAACATTTGTCTAAAACTGTCTATTACATTAATTTGTTCTTTTTTACTATCTAGTACATGTACATTGATACATTTTATAATAAAAATGTATTAAAAAATTGTACAAAAAAGAAAGCTATATTTCTTATGTAATATAGAACTTTAGATATTAAAGATTTGAAATAATACATAAATTCTTGGGTCAGAGATCAAAACAAATATGAGATTAACTTCCCAGATGAATTTCAGTTTTCAATTACGAAAAAATCAAATGGTCAAATTTAAGCCAATCCCAGAGATTATTCTGTTAAAAACGCAGGATGCTTCTCTAAGAGGAAACAAATTACAAAACATGACATTCACAAGAAAAAAGTTTCAGAATTTTCAAATGTTCGTAGTATTCTTTTCATTTCCTGAATGGTTTTTAATATTCTTCTGACAAATTTCTACACAAAATCATTGGCATCAATTCACAACCACAAGTGGTATTCCACAGTGAATCTTTTTCAGTGTCATAATCGGAATCAAAAATACTAATTTACACAAGGAAAGTTTTCTTTCAATTCATTCTAAACAAACTGAAAAAGGGTTTTAATATGAGAAAAATTATCACTACATATCATTATTATTTATCATATGCAGAGAAGTAATGTTTACTCAAACCACAATCTCTGAATGCAGCAAATGAAAGTTGTTACATTTGAATAAAAGCCATACTTTAATGAGCCTGATCTTCTGACATAAGGTACAACAAGAGATACCACCATACCTGGCAAATGCAGCCCTGTGCTGCAAATAGGAACTTAGTGAGCAGAGCGCATCTGACACTTGCAACCAGCTTCCTGCGATCCTCACCAAGCTCCTCAGTAAGACGGAGGATGCATCTGGGGGCTTCATCACAGCCTCTTCAAGCCAGAAGCCTCATCAAGAGGGCAAGCTTCCTCTGGGTCAGCATCGCTGCACCGTAGTCTCACACCATTATGGCAGCAAGCGGCTGTACTCCAAAAAAAACGAGCTTTTCTTTACCAGCTCCCATATCTTCGCTGTGTAATGGAACCTGAAAGGTGAACAAACAAACAAGTTATATCTTTTTGAGACAAACGGTGATTTAGGCATTCTACTATGAAAATAACTTGTTTATTATTCATTTTCATACATATTAATTATTTCATAGGCAATTGTTTTCATGTTGTTGTTTTTTTCCTTCCTTCATTTTCAATGAAAGACTATTCAAGACAAAAGAAAAATGCCTGTAACAGCTCATTGTTCATAACAGGACTGCTTAACTAGCCTGACATGCCACATTATACAACAGCCCCTGGCATGAGACACTATTGCTTACAAAAATTGAAGGAAATCTTGACCCTGACCTAGATTTTTATTTTTTTTTCCTGTGAAGAGTATGAGCAAAAACATGAAATATGTGTTTTTCATTTTTTTTTTCCAAATATTATTTTTCAAGATTATATGCATTTTCAAAATTTTGGAAAAAATGCTTGCATTGCTGAAGTTGGTCATTTTTAACTTGTGTTGTAATTGAGACAGAAATGTAATATTTTGCAACATTAAAGAACAAAAGTTGCTCTTTTATTTGATGTATATTAAATTCATTAAAGTATTTAAAAAAAAATTTTTGACCTTTTTTTCCCTTCCAAAACGTGACAGATTAAATTTGAAAAAAAAAATCATTGAAATCTCTGAAAAGTTCTACATAAGTTACAGTGGGACATCCAGTTGATTCTGAGAAATTAAATACAATAGGAATGTCTACTTGCTGCATCACTGCAGCGTCTGCTAGAGTGTCCCCCTCAAGCACATGCCAATCAGCAGTACACGATTATCATCAATATACTCTCACAGAGCAATAAATAGAAGTGTACTTTCACATCTGCCATATATATACATATGACCTTCATAGCCAATTAAATTCGAATTAAAAAGTGGCGAACGGATTCAACTTAGTAGTATTAAACAGACGGAATATTTATACAAATAGGAGTATGTGATACAGTTAATTACATAGATAATTCTTTTACTTCACTTTACAGAAAATCTCTTTTGAAGTACTGTTCAGCATTTCTAAAAATATAACGGTAATGTTCTTCACATTATTGTTCCACTTAAATAATTTCCTGGGTCAATTAATAGGTTCCTGTCAGGATTGATGGCTAGCTTTTGTCAAGAATATTATAGTTGCCCCCCTTCTCCCTACGTCACTTGGTTCCTTTCCATAAGACATTGCGAAGCGAAGAAATTGCATTCACCACTAATATTGAAGGCATCTTTGTGGAAGCATAAACTCACATCCATCCAAAAAATATGTCAAAACTCTGTCATAATCTTATTTGTGAAGTGTTATGAGTTTACACTGAAAAGGGTGAATTGAATTCGTATCGTGTTTCAGGTTTTTAATGTTTTGCTTTCTCTGAAGCATAGCACAAAAGGATGCATATAGCTCAGACATTAATCCACAGCAGTCTCTGAATTACATCTTTAAATACAAAAGAATAATTTTCTAAAAAACTTACACTGGACAAAGAAAACACTCAGCATCAAATTTTATTTTTGGTTCATCAAGAGAGCAGAAGACAACAAATGATGGGCGAAGCCAGCAGAAGGAAAACTTACTCTGTCAGTTTCTTTATTACTTGTATCAGGTGATATATTAGGGTGACCAGGATGAGCGGTGCACATTTATTCATCATTGTCACTGCCAACATATTTGTGACATGAATGAAAATGGCCCATTTCCACTTTCTTGAAAAAACTTAAAATTTACTTTACTCGTCATGAGAAGGAATTTTGAAAACTAGTTTTTCCAATACACATAGCTTTTTTTTTGACGGCAACAAGCCAATTTTCAACTTCTCAAGAATGTTGATTGTAATAATCTGAACGTACCCTTCTGCAATTATAGATTTTCATATTAAGAAAATGCAAATAACAATAGTATTGATATTATTGTAAGACTATCTGTGATTATTAACTTAACAGAATAACGCACATGTTTTGCGGATTCTTCTATTTACACAACTGACTCAATATATGAGAAAGATGGCTCCTCTGTTTTAGGCAGACCCTAGCAGTGTCAATTGTTTATAAATAAACTCAATAGTTATACATCGACGTAAGATTTCCATTTAAGACTATGTGTATTTCTGTGATTCATCTCATGACGTAAGTCTCACGGTTGCTTTATGTTGGATGTCACGATGCAACGTGTCTTTGACACCCCATAGTTCGAGCAGCGATTCCTGTGGGCAGCGAGCTGCCTACATGCTCTGATGAACAAAATATTTTTGAAATGTTATTTATGTAAGTCCCACTTTGATACTTGACAGATCTATATAATATTAGTGTACAAATACACAAGTATTTTTTAAATTAATTTAAGTGTCAACCTAATGTTAAAATTTGCATTTTAAAAATTAAAATCTATTTTCAATATTTAAATAATATGTTTACAAAAATTATTTTTATATCATATGAAAGTACTTATTTTTAAGTTTAATTTATGTGTAATTTTATTTTTCTGAAGGAAACGGTATTTGCACAAAAATAATTTTAAACATTAGCGCACATATGATATTTTGGAAAAAATAATTGGTAATATTTCTGAAAGGAGTGGGATTAGAAAAAATAAAAAAATAAAATATGTGTCAACTCTTTTCAACCCTAGACCTCATAAAAAAAGTTTAACATCGCTAAAAATAGTTATGTTTTGTGAGCATGCGATTTGACGTGGAATGATTCAAGTGGTCCATGAATGAACTTCAGAATAGTATGCTCCTAGACAAATAAGAAGTTCACAAAGAGATAAAGCATTATTTCAGTAACTTCAAGAGGAAGCAGCCAATACGGCACAATAAATGGTTTGGTATTTCACAAATGAACATTTATTAAATTATGTGAATATTTGAATATCAATACAAGTTTAAATAAAAAACAGCGTGTACATCTGCTGGAATCTGTGCCCTGTGCTATGAGCATGTTTGTGAGTCTGAGACTTGTGGTGGCCTCCGTGCTATGCATGTACATGTATAGTCTCGCTTGGGTCTGGTTTATTGCATTTCTTCAAGATTGTACATGTTGCAGCAACTGAGATGACATCTGGTGTTTTTCTCACAATTTAAGACTTTCTTTCATTGGAAATAGGGGTCATTTTTCTGAGGCCTAACAGCTTCTGAACATGATGGTACCTGTATTGGGTTGAGAAGGGGAGAGGCTACAGCACATTTCTCAAAATGTACAGTTTGACACCATACACTACTGTCTCTGTATCTTGTATTCAATAATTTTTGTTTTCTTACTTTGACACTGACTTTGTATTTGGACCCCTTGTTACAGAATTCAACTGGTTTAATTTTCTATAGCTTTTAGAAAATCAGAATGGTGGGTCGAATGGCTATATCTAGCAAGGAATTGTAAGGAAAAAGAAGGATGGGAAATATATAATGAAGATTACAACACCTCGATCGTTTACAGCGCTGTGCACAACACAAAAAGCTAAGCACAGCAGGACCTTCATTCAGGCCAATGAATCAGTGCAGTATACATGACAGAGGCATGCAATGATTACCAGTAAGTGTCAAAGTGACCACCTTGCTGCTATATGTGATCCGATTCCATAGTATTTATACATGTCGTACACTCCACTTCTTTATTTATTTTTTACCTATTTCTTTTTTATTTTTTATTTATTTTTTTATTTATTTATTTTTTTTATTTTTTGAATTTATTTATTTATCAATTATTTATTTATTTATGTATTTAATTATTATTTTTGTTTCAGATTAATTATATATTGATGACCTTAAATGCTGTTTACAATTACCATTTACATTAACTAACCAAGACTATAAAAGTACCATATTTTTGTTAATAACAAAATATGAGGCGAGATTGTTTTTCAGACAGTATTCGACAATATTCATCAATTGTTGTGTAGGGTGTGCATGGAATTAATTAATACAGAATTTCTGTTGTATGGTTATAAAACAAATGTGTAAAAAATGCTGTTTAATAATTTTGGAAAAATACATTCTTAGAAATCCTGATTTAGTTAACAAAGACATGAATTCATATAGGTTTGAATTTTTCTATTTAAATCTCAAAATACTAATTTAGAATTAAAACTGTAAGATAGCACTTACTGACACTAAAGCTTTACTTACCAGTTCTTCTCAGTAAGAGTAGCATGAGTGAGCGGCTGAATGTCGGAGCCCAACAACTGATTGCGTAAAGAGTTCACAAGCATACCCAGACCAGGGTGCCCAGAGAAGAGTTTTGACGTTGCTGTCGTTTCATCTTCATTTTCATCCGATGTCACTGAAAAAATTTATTTATATGAAGTTAAACATACAAAATACTAATAGAAGTGAATAGACAACAAAAATTTATAAACAAATTATGAAGAACAAAAGCAGCAATCGTAAATGCCAATAGTGCTACAACAAATATTTGAAAAAATGGAGTGGATTGGAGCTGATACAATGTGCCATTCTTTATGTTTCAAGAAACATCTAAACCTGATGTTCATTGAGCAATGTTATCTTACACACTGACATTTCACTTTCATTTTGAAAACAATGTTTATCAAAATTAAGTAAACAATTAATACTCTTTGGAAAGTACCAATTTTACAACTGACTACAATCAAGTGACTTACAAAATTAAAGAGAAACTTAACATTAAAAATAATGTATTTAGAAATATCAAATTTTTCTAACAGGTGTCCTACTTTATTCTACTAATCCTATTTTTTGATCCCTTCCTTCCTCTATCCTCATCCCCTTCCAAACAAAATTCCTCTTCCCATTAACGGACTCGTATTTACCAATGAAATTTGGTATGAGTACAACAAGAAGGTACTCCGGTTTCAAAAGGCAGTGGGAAAACCCATGCCTGTATTTAACAGCAGGGAGGAAAAAACCAAGCTAGAAATATGATAAGAAAAGTCCTCTGAGGGCAAAAGACAAGATGCAATTTAGAAGTAATGTGAAACCGTGCATGAACGTCTAAGAAAAACGATGCTTTGTTTAAGTGAGGGAGTCTCTCGTACTTTGTGAGTACAAAACCTCCTGAATGTTTATTGGAATTTCTATAGTTTGCCTTGTGAAAATTAAAACAAACAAAAATTGCTTCTTTATTTATATATAATCTAAAATAGTTAAAAATTAGATGTGATGTACTATGGGGTGAAGTGCAATCTGTTCACAATTTCTTAAGCTCTGGGATCCCTACTCTGCCACATTCATATCTTTCCTCAGCATATCGTATATTAAACAAAGGATTATGTTTTAAAAACAACACAAAACCATCTTCCTTCAGGTGTGAAGTTTACAAAACTTCATACAACTTACAATTTTGAATGTACTAATAAAGATTTATAATATAGTAAAAATGATTGGCTCTAAAATTTTTTTTAAAATTATTTTAAATAGTGTTTTTTAAAAGATGCTTAACAAATCTATCTTTTACAATTTCCTAAATGCACAATCATACAAAAAGAAACAACATAACATTTGCTGTCTGACGCTGTGAATAATAAATCTTACCCAAAATAAGTTAATATACCAGTGAATGTTCCTTCCTGTTTGCATCAATGTTGAACTTACATTGTTAAATGAACAAATGCCATGGCTAAAACGTTTTCAAAGTGAGAAAGGAACTGTGGCATATGGTAGCAGACTTCTCTGTGCTTGCATCCAATCCAAGTTGCAATCAGTGGGATGAATCTGGCTGTCCATTGTCCTTGGTTTTCGATCTCCCAACTGTTCTGCCAGCATTCCATTGCGAAGGCTGTGGCTTTTCTATTGGCTCATCACCTTGTGTTCCTCTGGTAGATAACTTTCCTTATCATATCCCTATTTCTTAATAAAGCATCGAGGTTGATGGTTACCACCAGCTATTACAAGCACTGCTAGTTTGGAAACGATTCTGAAAGAGCAAGCAACTCTTAGTGCTCATTTCCTCTATACTGTACCGTATTCCTGATATTCCTTCTTGAGTGTATCTGTTCATTTTTGTTTGGTTCATACAACATGATAGAGTGATGATGCAGATTACAGAGATAAATTGTCACTGTTTGCTCAATCTTGGTTTTCTGATGTTTCCCATGAGGTTGCTTGGTGTCCTGGTCATTTCAGAGGCTTTATCTGCTGTTCATCTTAAATTTTTCCCAATTTCCCAGAGAACCTCAGTATACGTCTTCCCCTGGGCCAGTCTGATAATTTGATGAGAGTTTGCTTTTGGCTTGCTATGCATATTTTTCTTAAGGTGATCAGTCTCAGCATCTTAGCTTTCTCCTATCTTTGTAAACGGTTTTAGACCCACCATAGTTTTCAACAGGGCCTTTCGACACCTGTATAACCGGGGAATCATTACAGTGGTGTGATCTTCTGCAGTACCTTCTTACAGAAACTACAATACGAACTGCTGCCAATAATACTTAAAACGTGCGTGACTGCTTCTTGGGTTTGCAAGACGCAAGCAAGTGCGTAACATTACAAAAGATAGCATCTATGTTTACGCTTTTTTCAGAGGTTTCTTATATGCATAGATTATAAATAATTGAACATTTAGAAGACACTTTGCACATTTCTTACAAATTAGCCAATTCGTAAGTGGCAAAGTTGGCTAGCCTAAGCTGCAGCTGCACCCGGTGACCCTAGCGCTTCCTATTATAGCACCCTCCAGCTTTGTCCCTTGTTTTGATGGAGAGTTGCAAGGCCCCGGTTTCGAACTTGTTCATTTTCATCTTTACCTTCACCAGAATCCATTTGGCTCTTCCCTCTTCTGGGTCTATTGTGCTCCTGGGCACACTTCCTTGTCATCTTTGGATCGCTTCTCTCCAGTATCAGGGGCCGCTGCAACACTGTTTTGGGTATTCGTTTTCTGGGACCTTATCCTTTCTTCTTCCAGTGTTTTTCCATAAGCTTATTTGTCTTTCTGCCCTCTTATATGGCATTTATTGCCTTCCCGAGTTGGGTCAGTTCACTTTTGATATCCATACTGATGTTCCTCTGCCTTTAGGTGACCTGCTGCATCCGAGTTAATTCTGCATATAACACCTCCAAGAGTCCACATTTGTAATTATTTCAAAATTCAAATAATTTCCTAAATTACAAGTGACAACACCTAGCTAGGACATTTCCCCAACAAAACAGAAATATTTTGACTTCAGAAAGGTTAATTTGGATTATACTTTTTTTCAACTTTTGATTATCAACACGATGAATAAAATCTTTTCAGTTTATCTTCCATAAATCAATTTTTGTGAAGGATTTCCCATCTCCTTTCAATTCATAATACTATAAAAAAGCTTTGAGATCTGTGTGATCTATTCAATTAACATTTTATTTGAAAACTTGAAATGGGAAATGGTGAAAGTGCTAAACCTGCTAGCTCTGCACACATACAGTATGTTCACTCTTGGAAAAATCCTGATATAAACAAATACAAATGTACCTTGATGCTTTCCATTAGTTAGCTGTATGTGCTCTGATGAGCTAGAATTTTTGACAATAACTAAATAGTTATCTGTGAGACTACTTATATTTCTGCTATTGTCAAAAAAACCTGCCTCGATGGTATATTGGTTATCATGGCAGGCTATTGAACCCAAGTTCGTGGGTTCAAGCCCGGTCAATGTCAAGGGATTCTTAAGCAGCCAAAAAAATCCATGGCATGCATGCGAACACTTGTCGGCATGGAAAACCTATCACAGGAAAGGCACTTGGCCAATCGTGGCCAAATGAAATCCTCAAGCAATTTAGCACCAATCAGAGTTTTGATTTGAATTACTGGATTAGATTGCAAGTATTGTATCCAGGCGTGTCCTATCTGGTATTCAAAATCAAACATCAAAATTGGCGCACTAGCGTCCCTAGAGAAAACAATGGCAATCTATCCTAGGTACGCTTGTCCAGGATAAGTCTCACAAGAAGGCATTAGGGGCTTCTTGAGGCGAACCTATGCACTAATAAGTGTATGGCAGTAAAAGAAGAAGTCAGAAAAATTAATCTGGTGGTAAGTTCAGAATCACAATATTGAAAAAAGAATCCTGTTTTGCACTTCTGATGTTGATAAGATTATGAGCACTTATGGACATAGCCTCCCAGTGATCGAATGCCAATTCAAACTCGGCTGCATGGGCTACTTGTAATACTGCCAGCAATTCATCAGCAAAGACCCTACTCAGTTTGTTCTGGGATGTCTGGAAGAATGGTTTTTCACTCATATGGGTAGGAATCATTTACACTGGACCTGAAGGGGATAGAACCAGTTCCTGAAACACGATGACAGTAAGTAAAGAGATTTGCTGGAGCTTTGTAAAGTTGTTACTTTGTGACAGATCTTCCTCAATTTCGACTGGTTGAGACTGCTGCTGGCAACATTAAAAGAAATGGACAAGACACTCACATCACTCCAAATCACAGTGCGGCGCTAAGATTCCCTCGATTTATTTACATCAGAATTTTTCTAAGAACAAATGCATAATAGCATTCTTCTTGCTACTTCCAAGGAACTTATATGATATCTATTTCTGAAGAAACTTGCAATGAATAAAATATTTGTGACATTTGTGTAAATTTTTCCAAGTTGTTTGTTTTGCACGACATGGAAAATGTTGAAAACACAGAGACAGCAAGTTCGCCACTTTCAGCATTTTCTATATGCAGACTTCAACTTCATTGTACTGTTCAATTTTGGTCATTATTTTATAATCCTTATCTTGTCCCTGTCAGCAACATTTCACTCATCTAAGTGGAAAAGGGGGGGGGGGCTCAAAAATACCAAGTTCATGATAAAACTGCTGCTCAAAAACTGTAGCTTGTGAAGAGCAGTATTTGACAAGAGACTTTTGATTTTGATGCAGTTTGTTTCGGAATTACAATTCTTTTTTCTACTGCCTTATTAATTAACAATTTACGAAGTTAACAATTAAAAGATAGACTTACATTCTCTAGTGAGATCAGGAAGTAGGAAAAGATTAATGGGTTCACCACAGGTGGAGGAGTTCAGATACTCCAACACTTCGCCTGTGGCAATTCCAATTCCAGTTTGGATTTGAAGTCTTGAGCGTAAAAACATCTTGTTGTACATGTCCTGAAAGTAAAATAATGCATATTAACATTCTCACAAATCATGTCTGAATTTTCGAACTACAGATAACACCTCCTCACCACGCGATTGCTGCATCGCGTGGAGTGGAAGTAGCCAATTTTCGACCAAACAATTAGCAGTTTAAGGTCAGATTGAAGTGCCTGGAAGGGTTTTAGCGGGTTAGATAATAACTTGGTATCATAATCACAACAGTTTAAGTCAGGAGATTGTCCATTTTTGATATTCTCTGAAATTAGTTTTGTGCAGGATGTATTGGAGGGATACCTAAGACACACTTGTACTCCACTAGTAACCTGCATTGGTGTTGAGAGTTTACTACTTTGAAGGTTCTGTTCAGCAATTCTTCTTTTATTTCCAAGGATTTAAGTTCACCAATCATATTTCCAAAACCAAGTACCAATTATATTTCTTGTTCTCATCCTTCTTGTTTTGGAATATAGCTGTTTCTGCACACAAAGTCATGAAT